AGTGAAAGAGAGAGAGTGAGGGGACAGATACGCTCCTGTGTCCTTTTACCCTTCCTCTGTTCGCTAGTCGATTCAAATACTTGATAGTCGCAGAGTCAGCGAGGGTGTTCTCACAAAGGATGTCACACCCTCAACTTGTTCAACATGATGATGTGCACCAATACATTGACAAAGGAGAGAATCAGGGGGAAAGAAAAATCATCTCCCTCCAAAAGCTCTCTTTCTATCTCATACCCACAGATATCAAACCCCTTTATCCTCCCCCGTTCCTTGCCTCTCCTCTCGCACCTTTCAGTCTTGACACGTGTCTTAAACATTATGATGTATATACATTGATCATGTCGATAATTCATCTATCTACTGAACTGCAGATGGCTGAAACTCACAAATCCCATCCCGACACGTTTCCTACCAGATACCCCTGCTACGCAACTATGACTCCAAACTAGTCTCTTTCAACTTCTTTCTCAACTCCATCAACTCCCCCTTGAGATCCTTGGCTTTAGCCATTTCCTTTTCAACGTCACCTTCAGCCTTGCCAGTCTTCAAAGCGGCCACCAGCTTGCCTTGAGCCTCTACCTTCTCCTCCAATTCTTTCTCTTCAGGAGTCTTGTGTTTCTCCGCCTCGGCAGCAGCCAATTTCTTTAACTTGCTCATCTCCCTCTGCTTCACCCCTTGCTGCTCCTTCTTGCTAATTTTGATCACCTCATTCACTTGAGGCACCTTGCCCCCCTCCGCATTACCGCCAGGGCCTGCCGGATCGACTTTGCTGCCCAACACGGCGTCTCCCCCGAACTGTCGCTGCCACTCCTGTTGCTGTTCCGTAGGATTGTCAATTTTCTTAAAGAGGTGCTCGGCCTTGTTCAACGCATGACCGGGTAGAATGTCAATGGAGAATGTTTTTGGGAGAGAACGAGCGGGAGCGTTAAGCTGACCGAGTATCGAGCTGGACGTGGTGGGCATGAAAGGGTGGACGAGGACGGATAACAAGTAGATGAGGTTGACAGCGTTGAGCAAGACTTGAGCACATCGTTCCGGCTCGCTGGCGAGGAGCGAATTGTCCAATCCGGATTCCTGTAGGTACGCATTGCCAGCGGAAGATATTGACATGACAGTCGCCAGACCGCTTCGTAACTTAGTCGAATCCATCAACTCTCGGTACTCTGCCAGCCGCGAGTTGATCTCCGTGATGAAAGCGGCATCGATCTTCTCTGCAGGTGTCGTCGGAGAAGGATCAGCAGTGACCTCCCCTTCTTCATACTCTTTGGGACCGGGGACCACTGATTCATATTTCGCGTTGATGAATTTGATCACCTGCGGCTTAGCGTCACCACATAGCTGGCAGAGAAAGAGAACTAACCCGGTTGACAAAATTACCTAGATTCGCCAAGAGTTCGTTGTTGTTGGCAGCTATAAAGCTAGACCATAGGAACGCAGAGTCTGAAGTCTCGGGCCGTTGTGACAGGAGATAGTATCTCCAGACTGATGGTGGCTGCCCCGTCTCCTTTGCGTTATTGCCGAAAACTCTGCGCCTCGTCAGTGACGCTTTGACTGGGAAGACACGAACGTACCCGACATTTCGACTTTTGCTGAACTTTGTGTCTTCGTAATTCAGGTACTCTGAAGCGTGAGCTACCACATAGCTTCGTCGAAAAGACACTCACGAGTGCTGGAGATGTTATGAAGCATTGTCCAATTCCTTCCGTCTGCGAGAAGCATAGCAGGGAAAAGAACCGTGTGAAAGTAGACATCTAACAGTTGAGCTGCGTTCAAGTACTAGTAGTGCCTGCTTACTGTCTTTGCCCATGAATTGATACAGCTCTACGTCATCTGGGTTCATCCACCACTCCTGCCACTTGTCGGTATAAGTGGCAGTTATTGATGGATAACCGATAGGAGCGTCAAACTGAGGTTTCAATATGGCGTGATTGCTACTCCAATGCGAAAACTTACCCAGACGTCTGATCGTAAGCTGAACTTGCAAGCAACCAGCTTCGTCACACTCACATATGACCTTTCCTTCCATAGCTTCATCCTCCTCCTTGATGCCCAGCTTAGGCACCTCCACACCCCATTTCAGATCTCTCGTCACTGCGCTGGGTCTCAACCCCTCGCCGAGCATACGAGGTTCAATGATTTCTCCCTTCTCTGTGATCACAGCGTTAGTGCCCCATTTGCCCTTCACCCGAGCCTTTTGCATCCACTCTTCCAGTTTAGGCTGTATAAGATCCAGTCGGAGGCAAGCATGGGTAGACGGACGGACGGAAAGTGTGTGTGATTTATTGCGTTTACACCTGGGGTTGATAAGAGAAGTCGGCGAGGAGAAGGTGAGGGAGCATTTGTCACATTGATCTCCTCGTGCGTCCTAATAGTCAGCTCAGGTTGGTAGGTGAGCATCTCAACTCACATCATATCCACATTGTGGACATGTACCCTCTACGAAACGGTCGGCTAAGAAAAGCTTGTCATCCTCGCAATAAGTTTGGTCGGCAGTTTCCAGTCGAAAAAGGCCGTTGTCATGGATGTGCTTGTAGACGCTTTGGGTGATTCTACCAGTTACTTTTGACTCGAATATTGGATAGAAGCTTACTCTGCATGTTCTGGGGTTGATGTTCTTCCCCATTTGTCAAAGGATAATTCGAACCACCTATGTAATCAGCCTAGAATTCTTCATATACAAAGGAGGATCACTTGTAGATCTCGGTATGGAGCTGGTAAAATTTGGTGCACAACTCCATCGGAGTGACTCCTTCTTCCAAGGCCTATAATCATGAGCTCAACACAGGGGAAGAAAGGGCAGGAGACCGACCTTGGTCTCGGTGGCGGTCCCGTACTCATCTGTACCACAAATCTGGATCTTAACTACGCCGATTGCACAAAGGAAGTAGGCTCACATATAACGTGGGGACGTTGAGTGTCCTGCAGTACCGCGCAAAGACATCCGCGGATAAAGTAGAGCTATAGATGAGCTCGGATACGAAACGATCTGTTCACTGAGGAGAGAGCTCACCCAATGATGTTGCCTAGATGAGGGACGTTGTTGACGTCTATACAGCTCAGCGTTGCCACGTTACAAAGATGGAAGACGCACAAGGGAGAGCAGAAGTGATGAGAACATTTCGTTGACCCTTCTTTGGAAGACTGACCGTCAGCCACAAGTGACGAGCTATTACAGACCAGGCCAGGAGGGGAGGGTGTAGAGAGGAAGTAGGTGGCCAAGAAGACAAAACGTACATGGGCCCCTGTGACGAATCATGCACCTCCATGAAGAGCCCTGGAGTTTGCCGTATTCTCTGAGCACCCATCGTAGCTGATTCTTTGGCTGTTTCCGAATGACCAGAGGTAGCTATAGGGCTGTAGTGGCTGTATGGGAGGTATGTCGAAGTTGAAGGGAGGAATGACTACTCGTGAAATGTCGTGACGTTTGATTCCGTGCTCGTCGCTTGGGCCTCCTCCTCATTTACCCCGGAGCCCCACATTCACCTTATACCCTCACCCTCAAAATTGTCAACTCTCTCTCTCGACTCCTCTCCCTCACAGCACCAAAGCTAAGCGTAAGACAATCAATCAATCATGTCGGCACTCGCAGCGAGGAGGGCTGCGGCAGCTCACCAATCCCAGTCTTCATCCAACGGTGCAGTGCAAGATTCATCCAGGTCACCATCACACTCCAAATCTCGGACGACAACAAGTTCCAACCCCACCCCCATCTCCTCTGAACCTGCCCCCAAACGAGCCCGACTGCAGCGTCAAACGTCGACTTCCCCATCAGGCGTCTCCGATGATGCAGTCTCTCATCCCCCAGCTCTATCATCTACGGTGCAGCCCACACTACCTCGACGAGGTAGAAGATTCTCCCCGAGCGCCCCAGCTGAATTGGACGAGGTGGATGAACCCATGTCTTCAGACGATGCATCGGACGTGTCTCCGTCGGCATCACCGAGAGATCACGAGACAGTGGGGGAAGACTCCACACTTGATATTGGGACATTTATCGCAGACAGGAATGTGAATTGGTCAGTCGTCATTGGCAGGGAACTTGCCTCCATCGGACTTGGACACATTCCAGAAGCCGCTTTGGTTTGTCTATCTCCAGGCGAGGTGAGTTGAATCCTTTCATTCACTCTTTCATGCTCAAACTATCAGACTCTCATCTGTGCCGGAGCATACAATGTCATCGTATTGCAAGGAGGTTTAGAAATTTACGGAACCACTCTACTGCCTTCACCTCAACATACCTCTTACCCAATCTTCGCACCCACTACTCACGCTATTCCGACACTTCGACCCGCTTCCCTAGACAACCCACCGGTATCAGCATTAGGAGCCGCGGAAAGAAATTTCTTAGGATTCTGTTTTCTGCGAATACGTCCGGAGATGACCATATTCTTGATGTACGAACATGACAAAGGGCTACTAGGTCTACGCGGCCAGATCATCCCTTCCATCGCTCGTATTTGGCTTCCCGAGTGGTCAGAATATAGTATGGGTGGTGGATATCCTGTGAGTCTCTCATCTTTGTCGACGGATATGACTTATGAGAAGGCTAATGAAGCACCACCTCAAGTAACAAATCCTTTGCTCTGCCCTTTGTCTTGGACAGAGGCTTTGAATACCATTGGATCACAGGTTGGAGCAGGCGCGAAGAAAGAGAACATACCGATTGTCTTAGTAAAGGGTCCGAAAGGGGTTGGTAAATCGACTTTTGCTCGGATGTCATTGAATCGGCTACTTCAATATCACTCTAAAGTCGCTTGGCTCGAATGTGATCTTGGTCAATCCGAATTTTGTCCGGGAGGAACCATCGGTCTGTGGATGATTGATGCTCCGATTTTCGGTGAGTGTTTCCTGTGCTCTTCTTGCCAAGTGATAATGTGTACCATGTGGAAGTGAATAAAGTTGATGCTCAGGACCTCCCTTTTCTCATCCCCGTCAACCTTACCGTGCCGAGTACCTAGGCACTTACACGCCTCTGACCTGTCCTGAGGAGTACATCGCAGCTATCGGACGCATGTTAGAAGTTTATCAGTCTCAAGTTCGAAACCATGACATCACCCATCCGGTTCCACTTATCATCAACACACAAGGCTGGATAAAAGGTCTCGGAGCCGAGCTACTATATACCGTGGAAACACTATCCGGTCCTAGTCATATCATCGATATATCCAAACCTGCAGGATCCCAACCACCTGGATGGACAGCTAGTCCTGAGTGGCATACAACAAACCTTCCCATCCCTGATCAACCCGTAGCAAAAGGTAAGAACAAAGTGGCCCGGTTAAATCTGGAGCCAGCTTCAGTCACATCCGTCTCAAATAAATTCACCAGTGCAGATTTGCGGACCATCTCCCTCCTAGCGTATTTTCACCATAATTTCAAAGACTCGACATGGGACTTCTCCGACCCTCTGTTAACCATTCCACCATACGAGGTCTGTCTTTCTATTTTTGGTCCACTATTCTCCGTTTATCTGATTGGAGAAGGATCAGACGGAATTCTTCCCGAAGATCTGTCATTAGCGTTGAACGGTTCAATCGTCGCTCTTATCGATATTCCCGATCAGATCGATGATGCGAGGGGAGAGAATGGAGAGGAGAGTGTATATGTACAGGGACGTTCACCGCCAGAAAAAAGTGATTGTCTTGGTCTGGCCCTGATACGTGCAGTAGAACAACGTCCTAAAGGGGTTCTGAAATTACAAATGGTCACTCCTCTTTCACCGGACGTGTTGAAACGAGCCAAGGGGATGGTGAGGAACGGGGCGATCGAACTTCCCACTTGGGGTCTGATGGATCATCGTAAGACTGGGAGATTACCGAGGATGAAGGGGAGGGAAGAGATACCGTTTTTGGATACTTCTGAGGTCGAGGCTGTGGGTTTGGACAAGAGGAAGATACGAAGGAATTTACAAAGACGTAACGTGTGACCTTGTAATCTGCTTATCTACTTGATACAGGACGAAAAAGATTGGCAATTTGACGTCATTGACACTGTCGAGTACAGTACATCTCTCTTGAGACGGAGTGTCAAAGTGTTATGCAAACCACTCTGAAACTGAAACACTTCACGTGGTCTTCCAGGACGAAAACGTATGTGAAAGGTTGGGGTAATTATGCTGTCTTATCACATCACATTCACTCATGAAAGGATGACATCTTTCAAATCAATACTGATATTGTCTCAAATAGATGTCAATTCCCCCTTCTCATCATCAACTATATCCCATCAAAACACCTACAACACTTACAACATCCATCTTGTACCATGTCCCGGTTTGACCCTCAGACAATGACCAATCCAGCTTCTGTCAGTTTGTTTTCCTTGGCGGACCTCAATCGATTTCGAAAGCTGGAACAAACCATGAAAAGTATGAGGACTCTCACTTACCTCACCAACCCATGTTATCTATCAATTGAATTGTCGGAAGAAGAAAAGAAACTTCTTGATAAGATTGACGAACCAAGTAAAATGTGGTTCACAGGAGAAGGTGATGAGTGAGTTCAACCACTTCATTTCATTCTAATTGTTGGTCACTTGTTCTTCATCCTTCTCTTCTGCCTGTTAATTAGAAGCAGGACAAGCAATGTAATTGATTCGTTGTCACATGAGAACCCACTAACATTCTCATAGTATCAAGTTCACCTCCCATCATGAATCACTTCAACCTGAGCTCATGACGCTCCTGGACCGACACATAACATCCATTCTAACAAGAATGCAAGATCCCAAGCGTGGTGCACTTAGACAACATGACGAATTGTTAGACTTGAAGAATTCCCTTAAGAATTTGCAGCGTTCAAATGTCAAGAGAGGTGATGATAGACAGGGAACAGCAACCGTAAGATGGCAGTCAGAAGAGGGAGTTAACGGCCTCATCAGTCAAGAGTTGAAGTCCGAACTCGAGCAAACGGAATGGCATTCAGTCTCATGATGGGAGTGTAGTAGGAAACGAGGAGATTGACGAGGGAAGTAACATTATTTCGTAGGATACAAGTTGTTAAGCGATGTTATGGTATCGAGGATTCGAGAAATGTGAAAGCCTTTATGTGCAGACATGGTCCTTGTTCATAAAATTCAGCTATCCGTTCGTGTTGCATGTTGCCATGTTGCCAGCTGCTAGTCCTGCTGACAGTTGCGATTGTACGGTCGCTATGATTCTTGTCGTCCTCGTCATCATCTGAGGTGTCCATGTCATTGACGGCGATCTCCGCCGAAATATTCAACAAATAACTTACACGAATTCCGTGTTCACTTTCCGTCTCTCTTTTGAACATTCCCGATACGACAAGATGCCACAGCGATGATGAACAAGACCTTGCGAGTGACCCTGTGAGTCAAGCTACCTGTCACTAAGCTCTACTCACTCTCAGGCTCAAAGCGCAAGGTCTGACTTATCGTCCTTCATGCCCTCCATTTCCCCCTACCCATCCAACATGTCGAACATATACCCACCCTTCATCCCTCGTCCTCTCTACTTCTTACCAAGACCCTCAGAACCTTCCAGAAACTACATCCTCTCAACTGCCTCTGAATTCACTCAGTATGAAGGACCTCTCGACCACAGCTCGAAGACATCACCAAACAAAACCCTCGACTGGGATATTCTCACATTTCAACTTTCTCCGTCGTACTACCCAATGTTCAATGTCCGAACTATTCGCTTCTGTCCCATTTGATATCCTCGGAGATTCTCCTCTCCCTCGAAAGGTGTTGTATCATATCCTCGAAAGAACTCCCGATGTTCGAACTTTGATCCAAATTATACCTCTTCTCCCTCCTGTCTTACAACGTCATACTCTTATTCGAAGTCTTCCTTTAGTCTTTCTGCTCATACGACAAATAGCCAAATGTAACGCTCAAGCATTACTTCCTATCGCTATAGACATCTTCTTCACCCGGATACATCAAAGTCAATCGGAGTTGAATGCCGAGGAGCTTGATGGAATTTATGATGATGTCTTACGAGCTATGGGGAGGTTTTCACATCTATCGGAATTACGAATTGAGGAGGATACAAAAGGTTCTTTACCTCCTTATATCGTCAAGCAGGTGGTCAGAGTCACTGAACATTATTTGATTATGTTGGATTGTCTACCTGGAACTTCACAGAAGAAATCAAAGATGGGAGAGAAAATGTTGAAAAGGTTATTCAGTCCGAGATTCCTGTCAGGAAGCGTGAGGGATGTGATGATTAGACATTGTGAAGAAAGAGGGGTGGAGATGAAGGAGGGTTGGTATTGGAGATGTTTTGAATCTGCTGCCAATGAAGGAAAGTTTCGACTGGCCAAGACATTTCTGAAGAAGATTAGAAGTGGAGATTTAGACAACGAGTTTGTTCAAGAGGGAAATAATGGAAATCTGCCGGAGGGACAAAGGTTGATAGATGATACCATTTTGGTTCGTAAGGCTAAAACGAAGGATTTCACGAGTGCTATTGGATCTCTTCTTCTGCCATCTACTTCAATCAATGGTCCAAATGAGGATGAAGACACATCTACGTCGATCTCTGAAGACTCGCCAATCTCACATTCGACGGTGGGATCCAGTATGGGATATGATGGGACCAACGATCTTCTCGAGGGATCAATGAAGAATCTGAAGTCTCACATTCCCTACGCATGGTCTACCCTTCTGCACCGTCTCAGTCGAGATGGACGGATCGGACAAGAAAAAGTCAACAATGTCTTAGATGTCATGCCTGAAGAGGCGAAGACCAATCATGGGATCGCTTCTATAATGTGGGGGCTCATCAAGCGCGGGGAGCCGGAGCAAGCCATGGAAGTCTTCCACGAATTGGTGGAACAAAATCAGCAATCGCCAGAACACATTCAATTGACTTTGAAGGGTGAAGAAGAAGAAGAAGTGTTTTCGGGCATATATCACACGAAAAGTAAGAACAAACCTCCCATTGATCGAGCCATCTTGGCGGTAGCCACTCAAGCTTCAAATCAAATCGAAGGAAATCTTGACATTGCTATACGTTTGACCGACATGTACGCAGTTCGACCAAGAAGAATTTCCTCAACTTCGAATTCAGATATACAAATTGTTTTGGATAGTCAAAATCTTAATGTACTACTTCGATTATGTGTTTCAGCTGGATCACCTTCAACGGCATTGAGACTTTTTCACGCTGCCTATCCTCGTTGGGGTATATGGCCAGATCATTACTCTTTATCACTCATTCTTGACGTTTGTCGTTTCCCCCGTCAACACCACGATGATCATCATGATGACCGTCAACGTCATTCTCACCTGAACTCATCGGACTCATCAGGCTCTTTTGAACAGAAGGACGAATTTCGAGATCGTTTGAGACTGTTATCTTCCAGTTGGCGATTGAAACTAGCCGACCGAGATCTATCTTTTGAAGATAGAGGGGAATGGGAAGCTTACGAGTTTTCAGGTTTCTCACGTGGTGATACTTCTATCTTACTTGATCCTCCTGGATATACATGGAGTGGGGAATACGGAAATTTATCACCATGGGAGAGAGGAAGAGAGATGTTTAGGGAAGTAGTACTTGGTAATTGGCCACATTTACGACAAATCCGAAACCCTCTCGATTCTCAAGGGACTTTAGAGACAGTAGCTTCTTTCTTCAGCAATACTCCATCAGCCTCAAGCTCCAGACCATCATACGACGTAAAACCAGATCAATTGGGTGGTCAAACAGAGAGTAGAGAGAAGGAAATGGTTGGTATGGGGAGGGGAGAGTTGAGAATGCCATTGAAGAACGCACGGTATACTTATATGATTCCGAACTCTAGATGTTGGCATTCTTATATTCTACTTCTGGGTTATTGGGGACGAGCTGAGGAGATACCGCTCGCATTAGCTTGGATGAGATACTTGGATGTGAGGCCGTTGAGAAGGACTTTGGTCGTGGCATTGGCGTATGTAGCTGATATGGGAGGTCAGAGGATGTATGTGAGGGGTATGGGTTGGGTAGGGGATGAAGAGAGGTTGAGGATGTGGTCGGTTGATTGGTTGGATGGGGGGTCTACGCACTCAGATGTCAGTGTACAAGGGCCGTTGAATGGTGGGGAGTCACAAATGTTGGATGAGGAAAACGACAATGAGTTAGGGAGATATCGAGAGAACATGGTGGACAAAGACCAGGGAGCTGGGCAACATGATCAACAGGAAGAGGAAGAGACAGTCGAAGAAGAGGAAGGAGAAGAGAGATGGAGTCTTGTACCAGGAGAGAGTGAAGTGGCGGATTGGATCAGACATCTGAGCGAAAGAGGGGAAAGGATGACAGCTTGATGTATTGATACATGTTGTTACAGTACATCTTTTCAGATCATCCAGAAGTTATCTATGTATACTTGAAATGCTAACGTTTTGTCTGCGATCTACGGGGGACAATACGGAAATACAACTTTGGTCGTTTGTTCGAGAGATACAGTATGAGCAAATATGATTTTGGTACGCTTCAGAGTTGAGAACGTGATTCTTCCCATGCCTGTCATATATCAGTCTGGGTGAAAAGACCAAGAGAGGGAAATGACAAACCTCAAAGATTCTTCGTCTATCACGTACGTCTACCCCTCTACATGAAGTTAAATCTATTCTGGAGATCAAAGGACAATGATCAAGGATGTCAAAGATATTTTCTTCTACTCATATCAGCTTTGATCTCACTGCCCTCTCCCTCATTCCTCTTTAACCATCAAAGTCATAATCATTTCCAAAGCATTTTCACAACCGAGTCAACTTTGCCAATATAGAGATTTGTCATTGGTATGATGAAGACACGATACGAATATTGGGGCGGAAAGACGGTGGAAAAGCGAAAGAAAACTGACGACTTAAGCTACTCCCTGATAAATCTAAACTTCTCAATTTCGTACATTTCCTCAGAGCATCACATAACATCTTCTCCGGTTCATCTACTCCTCGTAGTTTGAGATCCGGAAGTTCTAGTATTTCCAGTACTGGGGACTGGGTGAAGTCGATGATCGGAGGAGGAGAGCATTCGGGAAGAGACCACCATCTTCTATCTTGGAGGAAATAGTTGAGGTGTATAGTTGTGGGACATCTGATTGCTAGTCGCTGAGTAAATCAGTATTGGCTATTATTCTTTTCGATTTGCCCCATGTGTATCGACAAGTTTTCGAGATTCTACGGTTGTATCTTGTCAAGGAATTGTCTCAATACTACGGAACCGATAGAAAGTGGAGATATATGACTTGACTCACCTTCAAGGAGCCCCTCCACGAACCGAAGAAGCCAATTGCCAATATGACACTGAGTAATTCAAGACCTACATCATGTTCCGTCTCCATCTCAAAATCTTCCATTTTTCTACATTTGTCCAAGACACCTATTAATTGGTCCTCTTCATCTTTCCGAATTACCCAAGCTAGATTTCCAAGATGAATCGACCGCAAAGATTGTTCTTGGTTTTTGAGCAGGGAGACGAGCACCGGGATTGGGACAGGGGGTCCGTTAGGTCCCAAAACTAATTTTTGCAGACGATTAGGAGGAAAGATTATTTCGATATTAGGAGGGATTAGAAGACCTGAAAGGTAGAGATGAGTGATATTAGGAAACAGGATAGGAAGACGGGGAAATGTGAAGTGAGATTCTGGGTGGATAGGACGAGGTTTTGGATAATTTGTTCGACCTAAAAAACGTGCTGTGGATGTGTGTGGACCATGGAGGATAGCGCTGGGAAGACAAAGATGTGTTATGGAAGGATAAGAAGAAGGAAAAGTTTCGTTTGGATTCTGACATTAGTTCGAACGTCATGCTCAGGGGAGTACCAGTAAAGTAAGAGAGGAGAGAATGAAGGTGTAAACTTACATTGAATATAACTTTATCAACTTTGAACGTTTCCATTTGATCCCCGAAAGTTTCCAACAAAGCTTTCACATGTCGTTCTCCCACTTTAGTCCCTTTCAGATTGATCTTCCTCAGTTTGACGGAACGTTTCAAGATTGTTTCCACCGTTTTGGTCTCTACCAAACTGCATCCCTTGAGGTTGATGGTTTGTAATTCGGGAAGATGATGAATAAGTCCGGCAACGGATACATCACTTGATTTAGCAGCATGGGTCAAAACCAAAGAAGTATACCAGTTTCTTGTCTCCTCGGAAGGAAAGAGTGGTTTTAGATGTTTCGTCTCTGCTATAGCAGTTAATTCAGCCACTGGGAGGTAAATTTCCGGAGGGACGAGGAACACCTTTCACACATCAGCAAGCCACAACTTCATGATTGTCTATTAAAGTATAATGAGAGACTCACATCATGTATCATAGCAATGGTTAACAAATGTCCCCAACGACTAAAAACCCCATCCCTAACACGATATTTTAAATGATCAGGAACATATTGCCATTTCTCCCTCCATTCTCTACCCATACCACGACCATCCGTTCCTGTTGATGAAGATCCTCTAGCTTCCCATAGAATTTTGAATGATCTGATAGCGGCCTCTTGACAACATATCACCAGGGTCTGCAGACCTCTCGGTCGGGGACGGCGAGTGGAGATGGAAGATGTGGAGAGGGAAGAATCAGCTACGAGTGTTGCCCAATCATCGGTGGAGTTCCAGACGGATTTCACTACTTTTGTCTTCTTTCTCGTTGTGGACGTTGAACCTTGGTGCTGTCTTTTGACGGGCATGGAGAGCTTTGAATGAACGTCAAGATAGTCAAGAGATGGGAGAGGCGAGTGGGGGAGGGGGAAGGCGAAAGTGGGGCACCACGTGGCTTTGTGTGAATTTCCATTTCCGTCGGAAGTTTGTTGTTCCTTTCGCGCCTTCTCTTGCTTTCTTCTAACAAATCATAAAATCACTCAACTCCCTTCCTGACTGCAATTGCCTCACATATCATATCTTGTCCTACTGACTTTCACTCTCCTGCCCTCTGCTTTTATACATCCCACAATATGGTGAGTCTCTCTTGCTGACGATCATCAGTCTGACGCGTAGTCCCTCACTCCTCAAGCCCTCCGTTTGTTATCACGCGAGGTGGTCACGCTCCGGTCTGAACCCCCAGAAGGCGTGAGGGTTATCGTGGATGAGGACGATCTCACTGCTATGGAAGGATGGGTACAAGGTCCGGGTATGTGATCTCTCTCTGCAAGCTGATGGTGGAGTGTGTAGACGCTCATGCCAAGCGGGGACACCATATGAAGGAGGTTTCTTCCGCATTCGATTCAACTTTGGTCCAGAGTATCCTAACCAACCACCTAAATGTGAGTGACTCTATCCCAATCCTGACATGTGATGACAGGGGGAGAAGTCCTGGTATAGGACAACGCTGATAGTAGGCACAATGTTAACGAAGATTTTTCATCCCAACATGTCAAAGGCCGGGGAAATCTGTGTGGATACTTTGAAGAAAGGATGGAGAAAGGATTATGGTGTTGGGCATGTACTTGTGGTGAGCATCATTACCAATCTTTCTTCCTCTTATCATTGTCTTTGTCATACATAATGAGCCTCATCAGACATGAGGCAGACCACTTCGACTGATAACGATTGCCCAGAATTTCGCTGACAAAAAGACAATCAAATGTCTGTTGATCTATCCCAACCCCGAGAGTGCCCTGGATGAAGAAGCGGGCAAACAGTTACTGGCGGATTATGATGGGTACTGCAAGGTCCGTTCTCTTTTCTGCCGCCTCTGTTTCACTGCAGCTCGAATGAAGGAGCACTTGACTAACTGACAGTATGCCAAGCTCATGACTTCCATTCATGCCACACCAAAGGTGATTTCACTTCTTCCCCGCCCAATGATTCTTCGGATTGACTAACAATCAGCTCCCACCTACCGAGTTTCGTAGCAAAACGAACAGTGCCAACCTTGCTTCCTCTTCCACCCTCCCATCTCCCCTTCCGATCCCTTCTTTCCTCCCTCAAGCCAACTCGGCGACCTCTCCCACCGTGTCGTCTGGTCTCAAGCCTATTCCATTAGGAGTGAATGCGAAACAAGAAACCAGTCCTGTGGTAGGACAGACTGGACAAATCCCTGATCCAGACATGTTCAAACCTCCTTCTGTCTCAGGTGTCAAGAGTGCATCGGCGAAACCCGCTGCGAAACAGGCCAAGAGGGGTTTGAAGAGACTATGAGGAGATGGGATGACGGGGAGGATCTCATAGATGGCTCTTTGAATCTCTGGACATTGAGGTTATACAATTCGTAGTACGGGTGAAGTATTTAATGTATCTGTCTCTTCTACCTGGTGATGTGCCGCACCTTTGCATAGAATCAAGATGACTCGGTGTCATAGAGTAGGAGGAAAAGACAAAAAGCAGTCGCGTCGAGTAAATTTTCACCACCAAAAATGCCCTTCAAATCACTCGGACTGGACTTCTCAACTTCTCAACATTACTCTGCCTGTCATACATTAAAGTGTCACTACAAATAAACACGTATTATCCGTCACACTATGCCCCCTCCTATAGCCTCCTCTCCCTTGTTATCCATAAAAGTGATAGACGCAGCTCTCTCCGCCCTTCCTCCCCCAACGGCAGAAGAAAGAATCCGTCTCTTATCAACAAAATTGTACATCCTCACGAATCCCCTCTCCAATCCCACCATTCCTTCTCATTCCTCCCAACCCAACTCATCCAGACTCTCCTCATCTACCAAAGATACATTATCCTCTTCTTCCTCGATCGACGTACTCCACGAATCGATCACTCCCACGACTTCCGACCAACATGATAACGAATTGGAGAATCACAAAAAACGGTTGGAGGTACTGGACCTGCGACTCGATCTCGCTCATGCGCATTTGAATTTACGTCCGCAAGGATGGATAGCGGCGGAATCAGAGTTGAGTTTGGTAGAAGGAGCCTTGAGAAGTCTGAAACGACGAACCAAAAGACGGCTCGTAGTGAGAAAAGGGGAAGGGGATGCGTCTCACAAAACGGAGACACTAAAGGGACAGGGGCGCGCGAACCAAGAAGGGAGAGAACAACTTGGAAAGAAGAGGAATGCAGGAGACGGAGGAGGAGATGAGGTGAAGAATACAGGTGTGGTGTGGAAACTGGACGAGAGTGAGTTGGATGAGAGGTTGCGACTTATCAGAACGAGAATGCTCGAGATGATGGTTATTGTTCATCGTGGTCTAGGTAGGGAAGGAAGGGCGAAGAGATACATGGAGATGTCAATCATGCGTCCTTATTACATTGAGCAATATCGAGCTGATTCCCCATGTTACATAAGCAACATACTCTTTTTGACCATCATTTCAAGACAGGACAATCACCACGACATAAAGTTGTAAGATGAAGATAAAAATTAATTCTAAAAACGAAGTCGAATTCCCCCAAGTTTCCCAAATTGCGCAATTGTCCTTTGTGTATAATATATCTACAAATGGCTCCTTCTTGCCTAAGTACCGTACCCCAGATCATCATCAACGGGACAACTCAAGTCGCCGAACTGACCAAAGTCAAAGTTAGCTCCGCCGTCGAAGACGCGCCTAGGTCGGCCGGATCTATAGCCCCGCCGAGATAATTACTACTGTACGGTGTCGAGAAAACGAACCAACGTCCATCATCGGTTTGTGTACCGTCGGCGTTGTAAAACGTAAAGGTCATCTCTCCCAGACCAGATGATGGGACATTGAAGATGGGTAGCTGGTCGAATGAGCCATGTGCCGCTGCGTACGTTTGAGAGGAGGTCGATGTTAAGCCGAAGCATGTGGAGCTAACATACACGTTAGCCTTATTGCTCCCTCGTTGATACTTAGTCAAGTCCCTATCGACTCACGTGTGAGCTTGGCCTTGACCATCTTCCATATTGTATGGAGTGGTGTCGGTGTCCCAAATCTGACGTGTTTTAGCGCTAATCATGCACTTGACAATCATTAGAAACCTTCTCCCGAACGGCACGGCACGGGAGAAACTCCCACAAACGATGCTCGATAGATGATGAATGATGTTTCTAGGTGTTTATTCACTCACCATACTACAGACGTGATAAGAACTGTAAGCATTGTCCACGAGCATCATACCTGTTCCCGTTCCCGAGTAGGTGAATTGACGAGCTTGACTAGGATCATTACACTTAAATCACTCAGCATCCATCGTTATATATGCCATCTGAGTGAATCTCACTCACCAATGAGTAGAAGGAACCAGGCTTGCAGACGTAAGAAACGGAATCGAAGGGTGTGGAAGCACGTTTAGCTTTGGAAGGAGCGACAGGACTTGCACGAATATAAGCTACTCCTGGCGAACCGGAACGTTTCGATTTCGCAGCTGTCTTATCAGTTCAACCCACTCCAAATTCGTCGGTAATGTATATCACTCTGGTCCAGAGCGTCTAGTAGGAATACAGGAGGGGCCATGGGAGAGATGAAGGAAGCACTCACCATGCGTTTGAGTGGCATTGAACCTCCTATCGGGATTTTTAACAGGAAAACCACGAGCTAGTCGTTCGCCGTTGGTCAAATCTCTCTTGGTCTCGGGAGGGATTTGAGTAGCGGATACCAATTCAAATACCAATAAGGCGTAACTGAGTGTACTGAGTGGAGAAAGCATGTCGAATGATCAAAGACGGGTTGGTCGATACGAATTGATTGACAGGATAGAAAAGTTGAAGTTGAAGTCGAAACGGGATGTTGACAGCAGTAAGTTATGGTCGCACTGAAATTAAACATGTTTCCTTACTTGTACATGCATGTTTACTCGGACCTACGTTAGAGGGTTGATCAATTCGGCAAAAGTTTCTTAACATTTGATCAGAAATAAGGAACAGGACCGTGAGTAAGTTCATTCCTAGTGTTAGTGGAAGGGATGTCACCTTGGGATATGTCCCACCGGATGAACCTTGGCGCCAGGCGTTGGAACGGGAAGTGGGGATCGGATCGGTAGCGAAGTCATCGAAGACGATTACGGCTCCGAGCCGAATGTTCTGAAGGAAAAGAGGTCGAGTGGGAACACATCAGAAATAAACATGGAGGATAGAAAGTCGAGCTGTCGGTACGACAAGTACCAAGTGGTCACGGAATCGATGGTGAGACCCAACCACCATTCAAGATGGCGATAACATGCGACGCATGCGACCCTTATAGCACGGCATGAACAAGAATCAAGCCATTCTTGACGACAGGAGGGTGAGTACTCTCAGTGGTCACAAGTCTGTGAATGTATAGATGGGTTGTAAAGGTGGAACGATTGGGGCGGATTACGATGGCTAGGTTGCGCTAAGTTACTCGTACTAGGTGATGTCCGATGGCCGATGGTGACTATTCTCCCCAGCTCACTCTTCAAGGTACATTGCACCACAAGCAACCACCTCAAAGGTCAAGCTCGTACTAGCTAGTGCAGCATGCAGCATGCGCATGCAGCGTAGAGGCTAGCAGAATGTCTCATGTTTCGGACTATCGAAGAATAGCTTTGTACCCCTGGGTTTGCTTGAACCTACGAGTACTCGTACTGGTACATCCCATCGAGACTGCTGGACTCTCCCCACCGCCGACCGCAGGTATCCGAGCCTCGCGACAGAGCAAGTGGAAGGAACGGGTCGCTCCCCCGTGTAAGCAATGCGAACGATCATACATGCTCATACCATCAACGTCTAGCGAGAGTAGCTCCATACGTTTTTCAGCACTGTTTCATCAGCTCGTATCCTTTGTTCCCTAGGTTGGGTACCTGGTACCAAGTGTTTTGAGAAAGAGCGCTCGCACTGCGGCGCTTCTGACCAAGTATCAATTGTGGCAATTGAGCGAAAGGAGATTATCTGAAGAAGTAACTCACATCCGTCCTTGGTCGCAATACGGTTGATAGAGTCATCGCTGTCTCCTTGCGCCCTGATCCTCCCACAAATGACAATGGTGGTCCCGGATCCCTTGACAGCTTTTCCCTCGGCGTTGACATCAGCGACGCTGATCTGGATGGCGGCGTGGTCCTTGGCGGTGACTAGTCGGTCTGAAGAGTTGTCAGCTTTGTTCATCTCGTATCTTCCGTTTGTCCCGACACCGTCCACATGAGACATCAGGCCATCGGTGAGATCTGAGTGATGCAAAATCAGGGTACGAATAAAGACGTACTGGTGGCAGAGCAGTGACGGGGGATCTACCAGTCAGTCACATCCACATGAAAGTTCACAACGATCCACTCACGTAAAGGTCGACGAGGACACCTTTGTCGTTCTCTGTACAAAGTCAGCTTTCATTTCTTGGCTCTTTGCGTGTTCCTTCAAGACATGTACGCAGTCTTGAGCTCGAAGAACAGAGAATGAGGAAAGACAACGCACCCATGTTGGCTAGTAGAGGCTGAGCTATGCTGAAAGAATCAGAACAGAGACAGTTTCTTGGAAGAGCTTCGGCATTATCCTCGGAGTTTTGGTAGAAAGAGAAGTGGCGAGATCTCCCACCTCCCACGTGATCGGATCCGAAACACGCTACTACGTCATTTCGGCGTGGCTATTCTTCTCCGCATGCCGCCATTTCATTGCCTCCGGCCTTTCCTTCCAAGCTAAATTACTCATACATATATACCCCCCACTTCTTTTCCTTTCACTTATAACCCCCCGCAACATATCTAAAACCATGTCTCCCTTCTTTCGTCAAGATGCTCAAGCTAGAATGCACCCAGAACCTCTCCAAAAGCCTCACGTCAATCAGCCATCCTTTCCCGACGCACCCGCGCGTCGACACTCACTTATGGAAGAGACAGACGATGAACTCACGGAAGATGAGAGGGAGGCATACGAGAAGGGAATCATTACTTGGGAGAAAGCTAAGCATTGGCGATTTTGGTTAAGAAGAGAATGGTTATGGTGGTACGTTGGATTGGTGGTCATCATTGTTCTCGTTGCTCTCTTGGCTTTTTTCCATCGTTCAGTGAGTTCGTCCTGCTTGTCCTCTGCCCTTGCTCCACCTACTTTCATGTGTAACTCAACGTGAAAATAAGCGTAAAGGCGACAAAGCTAATCCTCCCAGATAGTAGACTGGCTCACACCGTTCACCCAACGCATACGGACTGTTAAAGATGGCTGGCTCATACCCGTCGCACTCATGTTCGTATTATCCTTCCCTCCTCTTTTCGGAAATGGTGAGCTTCTTCCTCTCTTTCACTGGCAACTCTAACGCCCAGAAATTCTTATGGTCTTGGTTGGAGTCGTATGGGGTCTTGGTAGAGGTTTCGCCATTGTACATCGATCTCTTGTCTCCCACGTCTCTGCTTACACGTTAGGTCACGGTCGGTACGATACTTGGAGAAGTTGCAAACTACGCGTGAGCGGTAATTCGGTTTCTATAGTGACTTTGCTGACTTGTAGCGTGTTCAAATACTGGTGTCGGGGACGAGCAGATCGACTGGCTCGAACCAATCTCAACTACGCTTGTCTCGCTCGGGCGATAGAAGAAGGAGGGATCATCATGGCTTGGCTGGTACGATTAAGTGTGATACCTACGTAAGTTTAGAACCGTACGAGATCCTTACAACAGCTCACTCAACAAGGCATTTCACCACGGTTGTCTTTGCGGTTTGCGGTTTGCCATTCTGGAAGTTCTTCATCGCCCTTATCGGAGGTCTACCCAAACAGGTATGCCTCAACTTTTGCTATTCCTACGCATGAAGCTGACAGTCAGCTAATCACCGTGTACAGTCAGTTGCTCCATCCGCCGGGTAGAGATATCAGCTGACGTTGCCCTCCTTTCTTGCATCACACAGTTGGAGGTGAGTACTTCGCCTGCATTCATGGGTGATGGTCCTTCTGACGTTCGCAGTCGTTCTTGCTAGAAATTCCGGTACAAACTCCCACGTCGTATCAGATCTCGTCTTCCTCGCTACTGCCATCATCTCTCTGGGTTGTCTATGGTTCATATATCGGAAAATGGCATCGGTTCGACGACAAGTCATCCTTGACATGCGCAAAGACCTACAAAAACACCACATAGCCACGAGTGAACCACCTCTGGAGATCGAAATGGGAGAGAAGAGACGCTTCAATTGGAGACATCCTTTTGGTGGAAGTCGACGTCAGAATGGCAAGATGGATCTACCTCGACCCCTAACCCCACCGGAGGAAGGATTCGCCGCTTCACCGATGGATCAACGGACATAGATCATGATTAACATACCACTGCAGATCGATCCAGCCCGCATCTGTACATCTTCAACATCTCCATGTATGGCCTTTCATGTTGTCATCTATACCCACCGGGCGACCATTCATCTTCTGAGAAGACTTCGCTATCCCATTCCTCACTCTCACTTTCATTCGTATACCTGTTCTCCTCTTCATCTTCCGGAGGTGGGATCACCCCTCGCATACCTCCTAATCTGGCCACTCTCCTTGCTAGTCTCTCGAAAGCATATCGTTCTGGTCGTATTTCGGCAGGGTACCAACTGCAAAGTCAATGAATTACTATCCTTTGTCGTTTCCTCACTTACTAGTTGACGGCCACCGTGATGCCAAGTCTGCCCTCGGTCTGTGAGACGGCATGCCACCATCTGTTCGGCAGATACAGGGTTTCACCTTCATGTACAGTCACTTCCATCGTTTTGACTCCCTGTGGCAACCGAGAAGAGGCCACCCAAGGGACATCATGAGATGGTTCGGGGTCGAGAAAGGGTACTATTCCATTTGACGTACGGTGAAGCGTCGCAGGGGGATAGAACTGTTCTGATCATGAGCTCCGGTTGCCATTCCTCCACCACAATTGTCTCACAGATAATTTCAAAGTGGCACTCGACCGGGGCATCATGGCAAGGTTTTGAGTGAGCGGGTACCAGAAAAAACTCACGATCTAACCAGAGTCCCTCGATGGGGGCTGCAAGAAGAAAAGTTTTCTCTCCACTTAGAACATGATATATATTCTCGTACGGGTCATGATGTAAACTTGTCCTGGCACGACTGTTGCCTATCCAGAGATTGACCGCTTCAGCCCCTGTCCCAATGGCTTCCTCCATCCAAGTAATATCGGGAAGGAAGTACGGTCGAAAGGGAGATAGCTGATCGCTATCGGTATTGGGAGAGGGGCGAAAGAGGTTGCCATCTTGTGATTGGAGATATAACACTGGCTCTTGGGTAGATGTCTCGTTGACTTGCTGTCAGTATATATTCGGCTCGTCACATCCGTTCTCCGTTCGGTGTTTCTTCTGAAAGTAATGATAGCGACGAAAGGGGGAAAGGTTTCGTTTGATGCTTGAAGGTGCCGGCCGGCTCACCGAGGCGAGTCAAAAAGGTAGACATAGGCATCTTCTCCTCCAATGGCTTGACAAACATCCCCAGACCATCTTCATCCACTCGAACCGAGTCAGCTAACCTACATGGTCAGTCTCACATGATACGGTATGACAAGACTCTGACCCATCATCGGTAATGGCAATCGTCACCTCTCCAGAACAGGTTGAACTGTAAGTATCGGAATCTGTCCAGTCCCTTTCGATACCTTGAGAAGTGAGCGGAGAGAAGTCTAGTTATCAGTATGTAACTCATAAGCTGATCAATGCTTGGAGAGAAGATTCTCACTCTTGATCAGTGCCGGATGTGACCTTTGTATCATTCTGGCCGCTTCTACTGGACCGGGTGGATGAGGGTATACGACAACATCGGGAGGAGCGAGGTCTGTTCAAAGTCAACCGTAAGTCCGCCAGAGCGAGAGGGGCACACCTCTATAGTCTTGTCGTAGTTGTTGAGTATGAAGCCGGAGGGATGCAAACATGGCGATAAAGTTAGTGGGTTATAAGAGATCATCACCACTTTGGTCGTCGTCGCCATCGAAGTTCAATTCCAGCGGAGCCCCGCAAACGTTCGGTGTCGCCTCGACCACGTTGGTACTCTAGGTAAGTTACATGATAGAATACTTTTGACCTTACATCTCCCACCTTCTTCATTCGATCTGCTGTACATTCACAATGGATCAACATCAACGGCCTCGATAAACGTAGATAAAGGATTCAAGACGACATGTCCAACATCGCTTCCCCTCCCGACCCCAACGGCAACCCTCTGGTCACCGTGGCCATCGCCGTCATCACTGTCATCCTCCACCTTCTCGACCTCGTCCGGAGGGGTGTAGCATGGCTCACCATCACTCTTCCTGGGTTGGTGTCCTCTCCCATTCTACACCGCAAATGCTGATAAACTCAGAATAGTTGTGAGAATGCTTCAGTATTCTCTCACCATCTCTCTCGGCTTTCCAGCCTTACTCGGATTGTTCATGTCCCTCAGTGTCGCCATCGTACTTGTCATACGATATCGTTACTTGACTCGATATACACAATTGAAAGAAGGTGCTCTTCCTCCACCATCGCCTACCTCTCTCTCCACAGAACTACTTCCTTTGGCGACGGTCGGACTGAATGATACTCGTAGTCGAGCATCACCATTCCACAATTACTTGGACGATTTTCTGGCTGCTATTCGAATTTTTGGCTATTTGGAGAAGCCTGTTTTCCATGAGCTGAGTAGGTATCTTCAGACGCGAAGGCTATTAGCAGGGGATAGTGTGGAAATTGGAGGTGGTGATTTCTGGTGCGTGGTAGAAGGAAAGGTACAGGTTGTGAGTAAACCTCGTCTGTACAAGTGATGAGCGGCTTAAGGTTAGTTTGCTCCATCGTCGGAAAGCGGACAGACTTCAGTACCTCAATCACCAGATCCCATGGCTCAATCACCACGTAGCACTTTCAACGGATATCATCTCATTAACGAGGTCTCTACAGGAGGGACTATCTCTTCCCTTTTCTCCATACTCTCACTCTTCACGGAAGACATAAAACTCGCTTGGTCATCTTCTGCTTCGACCCCTGATGGCGAAGTCGAAGAGGACGGGTATGAAGATGCACAAGCTGTCCCTCTTGGTCAAGGCAGAAGCAAAACCCGCACAAACTCAGATGTCAGTCATTTCGAAATGGGCACATCCCCACCGAGAGCTCCCAGTCCCACTGAACCTTCACCAACGCAAAACCCCCTGAGAAGAGTACGATCCCATTCTATGGACAGTCTGTCAACTGCCTTTGCACCAGAAACAGACTCTTCAGTGAGCACCATACAGACGTCGGGATCGACAGCATCTCAGCCTTCTACCACAAGCGTCTCACTTCATTCACCACCCGCCCCTCGCACGCGTATCCATCATTCCCTCTCTCAGCCCCCAACTCCATCACGAACCCGAGGAAGCGCGACGACAGCACCCAGAGCGCCGACGCAATCGAGGCCTACTAGGTCTCCGGAAAAGGGACGGCCATCAGTCGATACGGGTTCAGCAGCACTGAAAGGGACTATCGCCCGTGCCACAGTCGACACCACGCTAGCAGTCATCCCAGCGGAGGCGTTCAGAAAGCTCACCCACAAATTTCCCAAAGCCAGTGGTACTGTCGTTCAAGTGGTTTTGGAGCGATTCAGCAGGGTCACTTTCATGACAGGTACGTGCTTTCACTCTTGACAGGAATTCGGACTGAGCCCGAAGCCCATAAATTTCTGGGTCTTACTAAGGAGCTCCTTCGATCCGAATCTTCACTCAATAAGCTCGTCTCTCATCCACTTCCTCGATCTTTTTACACTGGACGAGGCATGCAGGCTCTACGACGCCGGTTCCAACCTATGCTTTCCAGTAACAGTGACGTCCCCTTCCCCTCCGGGTCGACATCGGGGGCGCAGCCATCTGATCCAGAGGACTATTTTGACTATGTTCCTGGAAGTCCCACAGTCAGATCTCCCTCCCTCCCGTCCATCACACCCAAGCTCAGAATGACTCCGGCTACCGCCAAATACAGAATTCTCGAGCCTGAGCAGATGGGTGACGATGAGAAGCTTGACATGGAAAAGATCGACACCGCAGTGGCAACACAGGTGAAGCCTGTAGTCGAACTGAGTCCCGATGTGGCCGCCAGGCAATCCACCAAGTTCGTCAGGAGGATCTCCGGGCTCAGGAAGCAAGTGGCGGCCGGCGATTTGGCCATGAGCCGATACGACAATGAAAACGATGGAGGAATGTACTATAAACCACCTCCCCGTACTCCAGGTCTTCCGCGAGTAGACACATGGCGAGACCGCTTCAACAGCTCGTCTCTCGATCTACGTGGTCATCGTGGTGAGCTCGTGGATCCCGGTATAAACGACGATGACGGAGCATTCGAGACCGAGTTGAAGGAAGCCGTGGCGACGTGTATCGCCAAGTCCATTGGCCTGACTCAACCTCCCCGGTCAAATTTCGATTCTATGGGACGCTCCTCTATAGCGCCATCAGTGTCAGCGCTGTCAACTCCGAATTCGCCCCTCTTCCCACCACAGGCAAAAGGAAGTAAAGTGCCCTTTGGCAACGTGCTCGACATGATGAATGCCTCTTCTCATAACGACAACATTCTTGGAGGGATGCTGAGAGAGGCGGCAATGAAAGTACGTGCGACCGAAGATGATGCCAGTAGCGTCTCCGCCAGTGTGCAGGAGAGCAGTACGGTAGGTCCCAATGGGACGGGTGCGGAAAAGATCATGCGAGACTTAGAGAACTCTATCGAGATCTTGCATTTCAAGAAGGGCAGTACGTTGGTCGATGAAGGGGAAACATCACCCGGACTATATTATGTGATAGATGGTTTTCTGGAGGCGAGTCATTCGCAAATGAAGGATGTTTGCTTATGCCAGGTCTCACTACCGATTCACTCCACAAGACCGACCGATATCACATCCAGTTCCGGCGCTCGGGCTGATCATGAGAACGGTCTTCCGTTCGGCGCCGCTTTGGGTTCTGGAGATCCTTCAAGCCCCAACCGAGACGCTGAAACAAAGATTGACGAGCCGTTGTTCACCGTCAAGGTAACTTCCAGTCAAGTTCTTCTGTAAGCTGACACGGAAGGCTGGTGGCATCGCCGGATACCTCTCATCCCTGTGCAGCGTGGATTCCTATGTCCACATAACGTCAGTGATCTCTGAGCAGGAGTGTGCAAGGCTGATGGACAGTGCGAAAACAGACTGCTTTGTCGGCTTTTTGCCTCACTCAGCACTTCATAAGATCATCGAAAGGAGGCCGATAGTGTTGCTCACACTGTCTAAAAGACTTTTATCCCTCCTTTCGCCACTGGGTTCGTATGTCTGTGCTACGGATAATACAAGCTGACGATTGAGTTTTGCATATCGATGCCTCACTCGACTGGATGCAACTTGGAGCCGGACAAGTGGGTCTGTATCACCTCGAGTACATGCCTCGCTTACGATCAGGTTTTAGTATGTCATTCGAGAATGATTCCAGTCATTCCACTATGTTGACAGTTTCAGTACGAAAAGGGCGATCGATCCACCGACTTCTATGTCGTCATAAGTACGTTCTTTTTTCAATGAGTTACACCCAGCTCATGTATATACAGATGGTCGACTTCGCTCGTACTACGACAAGGACGGCGATGTACACGTTTCCAGAGAGTATGGACAGAACGATTCCATCGGCGAGCTAGATGTGATCACAGCTGTCTCACGCTCAGACACCGTGCACGCTATCCGCGATTCCGAGCTAGTACGAATACCAGCGGCGCTGTTTGACGCCATTAGTGTTCAACATCCTGCGACTACTGTACAATTCTTGCGACTAATCGCCAAGAGGGTCAAGAGGGCCATGGGGGAGCAGATAGGGCCGAGAACGGGAGTGACCACCCCGCCGACCGATGTTAACCTACGTCAGTATACTATCTGGTCTTCAATTCCCATCCCACATAGTGACTGACGGATAGGGACGATCTGTGTGCTCGGCACAAGTCGTAGCGTTCCAGTTGTACAGTTCGCACGCCAGCTGAAAACGTCGTTGGAAGACCTTGGGGCGTCCACGTCTTATCTTGATCAAGGGACAGTCATGCGACATCTCGGGCGACATGCTTTCGCTCGGATTGGGTAAGCCAGCAATCAGCTCCAGGACGGGGGAAGAGCTCATCGGTAGAAAACTGAAGATCGCTGGATGGCTCGCGGACCAGGAGCAGCACCATCGTATTGTGCTATATGTCGCGGACACGCCACCTACAAGCCAGTGGACTCTCACTTGTATACGCCAAGTGAGTACTACTCGATATACTGGAGGTGATAAGGCTGACTAGCGCAGGCTGATCTCGTCCTAGTTGTTGGTATGTCGAGATCCTCTTGCTATTGTCACTCGGCTGACTAATGCAGCCATGGGTGATGATCCCACTTTGGGGGAGTATGGTGAGTGTTCATAGACCTCGTCCTGATGGGCCTGACAAACGTCGCAGAAAGATTACTCCTTGCTTCAAAGACCACAGCAAGAAAAGAATTGATCTTGCTCCATGATGAACGCACAGTCCCTCTCGGGTCGACTAGACCTTGGCTGAAGGTACATTTCTGCCGGAACCTTCTCTTTCTTCGCTGAATATTGCAGAACCGCCCTTGGCTTCAAGCTCATCATCACGTGGAGCTTCCAGGACTGGTGACACCTCACAAGCCAGCCGCGGCACACGACCCGGCCGCTGTGGCAGCCTTCAAGCACCTTCGCGAGCGTGTGGAGATTCGTCTCAAGAAATATCGTGGCCTGCGCCCTGCTGTTCGCCTTCGTCGTCCTGCTCACATGAACGATTTTGCCAGGATCGCCCGAAGACTATGCGGTAAGCAGATTGGCTTGGTACTTGGTGGGGGAGGAGCCAGAGGCATATCGCATATCGGCATGTTGCAAGCTCTAGAAGAATTTGGCATTCCCATCGATGCCATAGGGGGTTGTTCTATCGGTGCGTTCGTTGGAGGTCTATATGCCAGGGAGTCGGATTTGTTAGAGACGACAGGACGGACGAAACAATTCTCAGGACGAATGGGCAGTATGTGGAGAATCTTAAGTGACGTAACGTATCCGTATGTCTCGTATACGACCGGACATGAGTTTAGTGAGTCTAACCCATGTCTTGGTGATCGTGCATGTGCTGATATGATAGACCGTGGTATCTGTCAGTCACCCTTGAATAGTCATTGTAGGCACTAACAAAGTAGACAAGGCGTTTTACAATACGCATATCGAGGGTGATTTCTTCTATCGTGACCGTTTATGACAACAATATCCTGACTTGGTAGACTTTTGGATTCCATTCTTTGCCAATTCGACTAACATTACTCATTCGCGCATGGAAGTGCATCGCTCTGGCTACGCATGGTAAGTGTCCATAATACCACATTCTTTTTAGCTCGCTGCACGGTGGCAGATCACTAATGGCGAAGGCGATACGTGCGAGCATCAATGACTTTGGCTGGTCTTCTCCCTCCTTTGTCAGACAACGGGAACCGTGAGTACATTTCTCATTCAGAAGCTCTTAATTGTTGACGGTCAGTACTTGTCGATGGAGGATACATGGATAATACCCCCATCGGTCCACTGAGATCAGGTGGAATTAGGGATATCATAGTTGTGGACGTGGGTTCAGTGGACGATACCAGTCCCCGAAATTATGGTGATTCTGTGTCTGGTTGGTGGATCTTCGTTAACAAGTGGGTACTTTCTTCTTTCTCTTCACTTGGGAGAATATCGCGGAGTGCACCGCCGTTGGTGGGAGGCCACCTCCGAGCAAGACATCTTATTGACAAACAGGTTCAACCCCTTCTATCAACGCACTGTGCTGTCCATGACTGAAGTGTCTTCTCGACTTGCATAGTGAGTCTTCAAGAATGGCTGATGAATGATCTGACGAGTAGCGTAGCGAGCGTCAAGACACTGGAGGATGTCAAAAGTGATCCTAATTGCATGTATCTCGCCATGCCTGTTCAGGTAAGTTGGTGAAACTGCCCAGTCAAATTCAATCTTCTGAAACTCACTGTTACTCCGAAACCCTTCCAAATGAGCCCTGCAGCACTCTGGCTTGCAAGGGCAGGTGAAGAATGACTCGATGTATGTGGAAGTTAGCTGACTTGCAAGCAATTCGAGACTCTGGGCGGATTCAAGCAGTTTTCTCAAGTCCTTGCGGTGGGTCTTGAAGCAGCCAGAAACGCTCTTCGACAATGGAAGGATGAAGGACGTCTTCCAAGTGGTTTGGTAGATGATATCAAGGGTCAACGAGCGATCCAAAAGGCTAAACGAACGAGGTGGGTGCTTTCACACCTCCTGACTCGGGAATTTTACCGTGATCGACCCCTGATCTTGTGATTGTGACCCCATGACTGATGAATCCAGACGCATGTCTATCTAAAATACACGAACCACGATCTGAAAGAATATGTACAACAATGCATGAAGCCTAAAATGACACGTTGACCACTTCAATGTCTCCAACAATGTCCAAATCCCCAGAGACTTTATGACCGATGAGCACGCGACGAAATGCTCATCCCTTCCAGACTGCTCGACAAACCATTGTCTCGGCTAAACATTCTCCTCTTCTTATCACTCCATGATCCTTTCGGTATTGACACACTTAGACTCATGCTCATACTGCTACTTCTCACACTACCGCTCACCGCCGAGCTATCCCCTACATCTTCCTCCTCCGCCTCCGCGTCTTCCTCCGTATCCTCCTCGTCTTCATCCTCCGTCGGATCCATAGCCACTTCAGACCAAGTTCTGTAGATAGGCTCGACATACCGTCCGGATCGTGCTAAGTCGTATGGGTCAAAAGGGAAATAATCATCGAGACCAGCATCGATATTGCTCTGTCTTGCCTGTTTAGCCAGCGTGTTGGCCATACCAGATCCCAGACTTGTCGTGACTCTCGAGGCACTCGGAGTCTGCGCCTTGCCCTTCGTTGCTGTATTGAAATTTGAGGACATGGGATTCCGACCTAAAGCGGCGTTGGCCTCGATTATCGAGAAACAATAAGCAAACCCCGTCTGATGTGCCACCTTTGCGAAAGTCTTCACAACTGTGGGGTTACACCCCAGCAAGGGATTGAGGGGTGATGTGATGACACGTTGAAGAACATCGAGGTCTTTGATCCATCTTCCATCTTGTGTTGATTCATCGGTTTCCCCAGTTCCATCATCCATCTCTAACTCGCCCACCATGCCCATACCACCTTCCACATCATCGGGCTCGCCACTATCTTCTCTGGCACGAACGGAAGCAGGTCGAAGGGCTCGCCAGCGGAAACAAAAAATCAACATAGTCGCCTGACACACCGCATAAAAAAGAGGTAACTCGTCAAAGCGTTCCGATGCCGGATGATGCAGTCGACCATCGATGTAAGCAAGGAGATAAGTCATGACTTGTCGTGCGTGTTCGTCGTTGACATAACGGGCTCTAGTGACCAGACTACCGACGTAGACGGTTGCTGCTATCCGCTGATTGAGTGAGATAGGGGTGTTGGACGCAGAGATGGAGGTTGTGGTGCCGTACAAAGCTTGCGAAACGAGCAGGCCCAGGAAAAGATCTGTATGCGAGGGTGAAAATGAAGCGCAAAGGAACAAAAGAAAGGGTATGTGTTGTGTGTGGGAAGTGGGGAGGATCTGTCTGGAAAAGATATTCAGGAGGGACTGGAAATGCGCAAGACTTTGAGCTGGTGAAACGTCGCCTGTCTTCAGTCCGAGATAGGGCAGGGAGGGTTCGAATGTCGGTGTAGACACTGCCGATGATGATGTCGAAGAAGGATTGTACGTAAATGCTCGGGATGCCAGGGCGGCCGCCGGTGTACTGGGGAGTTCTTGACCCATAGACTCGCAAAGGTGCCTCAGAAAATATACAAGCATTCCGTCCAATTTGCCCTGCATGATTTTGACAGCGAGTCGTTTCTTTTCTCTGGCACTGGTTGCCTTGGTCTCGTCTCCTTCTGAATCTGACGCTTCACTGTCCTCTGACGATAGTTCATCGGGGTCAGGATCTGCACCATCCTGATCTTCATCTTCGTCGTCCTCTGGTCCAACTTCATCCGGAATGTCATCCGTGACAGAGAGGTCAAACGGGTCGAGTAGTTGAGAGGAGTCTTGAGGTAAATTAGGGTCATTCGATCCATCAAGAATTTCATCTTCGCTCTCGTCATCATCGTCCTGATTTCGTGTGATTTCAACCTGCTCATGTCAGCTTTTCCTTGGCAGACTCGAAGGACGTAATGCTCACATCAATTCGTAACATTCGATCCACAATCTCCCCCCAGACTCTCTGACACAGTTCTGGGCAATATGATATGAGCTCGCAGCAATTGCGCAGAAATGTCGTCTGGCAGACTTCGGGTTGACGCTTGTGCGGGAACTGTCGGAGCAGTAAGGACTGGATGAGAGTGGGTAAAGTAGGTATGAGGGACAGTAAATGGGAGAGGAGCAAGTGATGTCGAGCGTGATAGAGTCTTCTCGTGATAGATGGCGAAGGGGCCAGTTCACAAGGCGGTTCTATCATCGTCAGCGAAGCTCAAGACGAGGCGGAAAAGACGAACGCCAAGTGAAACCTTTTACAGCCATTCCCACCACCTCTTTGGACCATGTTGGATGTGCACTGACCAAGACACCCATGAATCCAACATATGAGCGTACGAATTTCTCCTCGCCAGTAGCCCATGGAAGGTTCAGAATGGCGGTCACCAATGCTCGATGTATGCTGGAGGACAGAAGTGAAACGTGAGCCGTAAGAGCGCGTAGAAGTGGCAACAATGGTGCAAGTGGAGGAGCTGGAGCCAAGGGAGTAGGAAGGAAATGAGCTAAGAGGTCGTTAAAGTTGGCCATCCTGCCTTGAAGCGACTCTTGCAATGCCTTGGGCACGAAGATTGCGATGAGCCCTCGTTGGAAAGCGTCTTGATCCCTGTTGGTCTTCAGTGTCGTGTCCGATGTAGACTTGGTTCGTCTAGCTGGTGTCCTCAAACCTTCATCAGACTCCCGGGCTCGCTTCTTCCCAGCGAACGAGGATGACCGCGAGGAAGAGAGAGACAAGGGGTCCACTTGATCGACCGAGACACCAGGTGAAGAGAGCTTGACTGGGGACATGATGAGAGGAGGTTTGTTTCTCTTGAGAGGGAGCTGAGAGGGATATGGACCCATGTTCCTGGGACCTGAGGAAAGGTGTGAAGTTGACCAAGAGGATAGAAGGGGCATGTTATGTGTATGACAAGTTGCCAGGAAAGGAGATGAAGAGGTCGTGTGAACTTTTTTGCTTTTGCCGCCTTGAAGGTTATCAATCAGAAGGAAATTGTTCGACGCGATAAATACCACGTCATAGAAGTCCCTAGTCCCCCACTCCCACTCCCACCCCCACCCCCACTCACTGACTCTACTTTTGATCTCGTCTTCTTATTGTTTTACCATTAATCAATTCATCTTTCATCCCTCGTTCTACCTTCCCTAGTACCTTGGAGATAACCGATCACCTAATCACTTTTCATCTTACTGTACTCACATCAGCACTGAACCTTCTTGGACTTATCTACCCTCTCTGACTTGGCGTTCACCACAGAATGTCTTCTCCTTCCCACATCTCAAATCCAACCCCTGAACCTACGCTCGTCCAGCTGGCAGATTATCATCCTCCCCCTCTTCCCAATGACATCCCTCTACCACCTTTGCCACCCATTACTGACCCTGGGTTGCTCAAACTCGCACTCACCCATTCTTCCGCTCATCAGCTCCCTCATCGTCCGTCCGAGATCGTCCTCGACGAGTCCAGAGCAGTCGACGATTATGAAAAGCTGGAGCATGTGGGAGATGCCTTGCTAGGTGTGTATCTCTCTCATCTTTTAGGCTACACTCCTGATGGGGTCCCACTTATCAGACAAGTGATTGGCGGCTGATGGCAGGGGCTGTGGTCAACATAATGCTTCATGACATGTTTCCTTCCCTCAAACCTGGACCAGCGACGGTAAGGTCATTCTCCTGCTCTTAAGACTCCACGCTCCAATGAATATATGGTACCTCAGTTCTGCATCCATCAAGCGGGCACCTGCATACCGCTGACCACTAGATGCTGAAATCTCATCTCGTCAAGAACCAGACTCTAGCGGACATCTCCGACCGATACGGACTCCCTCAACAAATGAGAGGTGATTCGAGTGGTTTATGGGTCGTACGACAACAACAAAAAGCCCGAGCCAGCATATTCGAAGCGTACATCGCTGGTGTCTTCTACTCCTACCTCTTCGAGGGAGAGAGTGTTGAAGCAAAGGGAGGCGTTGCGGCACTCGCTACACCTCTAAAACCCACCCCAAAAGCGGTCTCCGCAGTCCAAAAGTTACAAGTTCACAACCCTTCTCCAAGTAAACCTTCGGTACCTACGGGCAATCATCTACGGAATTCCTCCAAGACAAAAACAGACAAACCTTCCGGACCTCCACACGACCCTTTCGCTCATCTCCTGATGCCGATCCTTGCCCCGGAAACAAAATCTCAACCTGACGAGGCTCCCGCAAGTCCATCAATGCTGTCGCACCAATTCGACTGGGGGTCTCTACCCGGACCTCCGTCATACAAACGTTCTCGCGGAGACGCAATGGTATATCTCGACTCGTGGCTTCATCCTCTCTTTACCCCAATTGCCCACTGGTATCTCTGGTGCATGAAACGCCACGCCATGCGATTGGAGACTCTTTATCCCCGACCTCCCACCCCACCCCGAGCACCAGAGAGGACGATGGAGGATTGGCGGGCACAGGGAACGAATGCACTACTGCAGTCTTGGAATGTGGGGCGAAGTGGAGGGAGTATAAAGTATTACTCAGTTCTTGGAGATGATGAGGTCTGGAAGGTGACCTGCAAGTTGCAAGTTGGGGGTCCAGCCAATCCAGCAAAGAGAGGTGTGTTAGTGAATGTGACTAACCCTTCTCTGTCAGAGCAGGGTCAAGGAGAGAAGGCCCAAGACTCACTGGGGCAGGTCGGATCCCGGGCTGCAAGTCAGCAGGGTATAGAGACTCAGCATGGGGTGAATGAGGGTGGGACTACAAGTCGAAGAGAAGGGCCGGTGGTGGTGGAGCTCGTCGACGAAGTCGTCCGGGAGATATCGAAAAAGCTGTCAATATCCGACAATGAAACAATCACCAATGTGGAAGATCATGAGAATTCCGATGCAGAGGGAGAAGACAATAGACTTGCAGTTTGTACACGCAGCGATATTCACCTTGATCAGAAGTCGACGGCAACCTCCGTCAATCAGTCAAACCAGGAATCCGGTGAAACACTGTCAGTAACCGTTGTCGGTCACTTGCAAGAAACGCTCCCATTTGATCCAACAACAATTCCTATCCCAAGCTCCCCATACCCGCAGGAGGATCAAGGGGTCGAATATGAGGTCCAAACCCCCGAGCATTTGTCCATCCATGAATCCACGGTCACAGGGGCACAGACCCGGCAGGAGGAAGAAACCTCAGGAGTTGCTGACCGAAGCGATAACAAAACGGACTCGTTACAGAACGGAAATGTGAGTGATGCGGTATCGAGAGAGGAAGCAGCTATCACTTCGAATTCACCTCTCAAAGAACCCTCTGCTCCAGTCGTCGAAACCGTCAATGCACCTGCACCCCGTACTGAAAAGATCATACCACTGCCAAGGCTAGCAGACATTTCAGACATCGAGGTTCTACCGAATGGTATCAAGAAGGGAGATATCCTGTCAGTCATTCATCAGCGCTTCCTATCATCTTGTCTAACAATCAGGACGGCCAATAGCTCCAGCGTGATCAAGAATCGGGCCGTATGTAATGCCGCATATCAGATCTGTCGACAGGTCGGCATCGCCCATTGGGCCGCAGTGGAGGAGACCGTGGTGGATTGAGGAACATAGTATGCGATACCTATCGAGGGAAATATGAAGGAGAGCGTGACTATGTGAGAACCATGAGGGTGACGTGTATAAGGTAGTTGCGTCGTACCGTATTATGAAATCATTTCATCACTTATTTCTAGTACTCGTCAACATGCGATGTGATATAGGCAGAAACAATTGTTGACAATAGATATACTTTTTCATCAGTCCCCACCATCATCCGCAGCTTCGTCTTCCATCTTCTGATCCGACGAACGCTCGAAAATCACCTCGTCGTCTTCATCACCTTCTGGCAGTCGTTCCAACAAAGCTCTATCCCATTAGCCTGATTCCTGATCTGTGTAAACAACACTCACTCGCACTCGCAAAGCAGCTCAGTGCAGTACAAATCAAGGTTCAAATCACACGGGTCACTGCGTATCAGTATCATCATCACCCAGACCACCTAAGAAGCACTCACTCTCCGAAAGGCATTTCGACCTGGGCGGCGATATGTTCCACGCCCATCATGGTGAATGCGCAACATGTGACGATGACCACCATTTTCCATCCCATCACATCCACCAAGGTGAAAGGGAGGATGAAAAGGAATAAAGTGACGGTCTGTTTAAGATGAATACCAAATATTACAGGTAAAGGTGTTTGGACGCTGCGTAAGTCAGCAAAGACTGGCCACGTTTGAGGTGAATACTGACATTCTCTCCATGCTTCCTAGCTGATCGGTCATACCTTGTACCAGACCCTGCATTGCGTTCATACCCTTATATTGTTAGCTTATTCAAGCATATCGAAGAAACTTACAGCCGGACCAACCGCTTCAAGACATCCCATGCGTCTAAAACGGAAAATTGTACGGCTTATCTCATGTGCTCTGCAAGCTTAGTTATCGACGGTTTTGAATGAGGAGAGTCCCCACTGACATGATCAAAGGTAGACCTAACTCAACCATCCGACCTAAACCAGCTTCGGCACGCTTTTTCACATCTGTTGCCTCACTTTTTCTTCTGATATCTGGTTTGACCCCAGGTTTGATCAACGGTGTTCTCTCATTTGGATGTTTGGTATGTGTCTCTTCTTCCCTTCGAGGATCCCCATCTTCGATGACGCGAACGTTTGTTGGACGTCGCTTCAAAGCTGAACGACCCGGGTGAAGGTGTTTCATAGCACGTTGCTTGAATGACGGCTTGTCAAAGGTGTTGTCCGAGAATGCACTCCCGGGAGTCAGACCCATGGACTGTTGACTGGTAGAAAGGCGAAGTGACCGTATACTGAGTCCGACGGAGGATTCCTCGTCCATCGGATCTGAGGCCGGTCCTGCCCCTGGCGTGGGGGGCAATGACGTCTCTATAGGCTGAGGAGAGGTGACAAAGTCCTCCTGGGCATGGCCAGGTCCAGTAGCGGTCTTGAGGCGATTGAGACTAGACCCGGCAAGTCGGGGAGGGAGTAAACCTTGAAGATCTTCATGATGCACGCCACCTTCTGCTCGAAGGTGATGTTTTGTAGCTATCACAAAGGCGACGATGAGACGAATCAAACGTTTCTTCTCCTCTGTAAGACGATCACGACTTATCGGGGGCGGAGTTCCAACAGGACTTGACGGGGGCAGACATACAGACACCCAAATGAGCTTGGATCAGAGGGGGCCCTATCTTGCGAGACCTAAGTTACTCACACGGGACAAGTTTCTCGAATTGGAAATGAGGGAGGTGAAGTCTTTTCTGCCTCTTATCATGTCAGCCGAAGATTGCATGCGTATAGATGCAGCTCACTCGGCAAATCTTTCATAGGCAGAAGAGTTGCTGGCAAGTCAGCCCAGATATCGACTTGTGCTGCCTCACTGACCGGAATACTGTGTCTGAGCTCCTGTATATGCATATAGAGAGATGGACTGACCGAGTAACAGAGCTACGACCACCGACAGTAATGGGACTGCGACAGTATAAGCTCGGGCGGCACCAGCATGCCCTAGACAAGTATGGGCATCGGAACTCACCGACATTATTCGTCAAACCAACCTCCTTGCCATACACCAGAGCAGCAGCAGCCACGCCCGCGGAGAACAAGGTCACACTGAGGACGGGTCCGATGACGGTCGGAATGATAGATCCCTGAACGACCAAGATGTCCGGCAGCCAAGAGATCTTGGACAGCTATAAGATGAGCTCAATCCAACAACCGTCTGGGAGGTCTTACTCTAGGCTTGTTGTCTTCATCATCTTGCAATGTCAGAAGGGATGATAGGGTGGTGAGGGGCAAAGACATGGTATTCTGCGAGTCAGCCGCTTGGCATCCGACACAAGTCCGGGTGCACACACCAGAGTGCTGGATAGAGGACCACTGGGTGGGGGACGCTTCCTCTCTGGTGACAAGGAAGACTCTGCCTCTTGGTTGGTTGAGCTCATAATGAACCTTGCACTATACAAGTACTCTAGTCATAGATCTACAGAACGTATTCACAGCCCACGCCAGAGCGAGATTGGGGAATTGGGGAGGGGGGGGGGGGAGAAATAGGGGAAGGGGCAGGCACCACTTGAAACGCGCCATGACGACCGGCGTTTCTTCCTTCCTACTTGCCACGTGGATAGTCCTCGCTGGCTTCAAGGTTGTACGGATGCTGCATTAGCATGTTCTAACTATGTTTAGGTTGTCAATCTCGCGAGGAAGTCTTTTCCATCCATCACTCGGCAAGTCTTGTCAACCCCATTCTCTGCCATCTGCGCCCTTGCCAGCGAATGTCAATATCGAACTCCAAAAGTGGAGGCAGTCAGTTGCATGTTGCAAGAATGGCGTCATCGGTACGAGTACCGCCGGATCCCTTGCTTCGATCGACTCTTCTTGACTATATAGCGTCTTGACTCTTCTTCATCCTTCCTCTCTCACTCTCAAACTCCACCACGATGGCCACTCTTAACGGAGGTCTCTCCACGAACGGTCTCAAGGCTCATCACGATCACTTCACCACCAGAGCCATCCACGTAGGATCAGAGCCCGATCCAGTGACTGGCGCCGTGGTCCCAAGTCTAGGCGTAGCCACCACTTTCAAGCAGGATGGAGTCAACAAGCACAGGGTGAGTTCTAAATGTGCGTTGCTCCCATCGATGTTGCTGACACAGTGAAGGGGTACGAATACGCTCGGTCGGCCAATCCCACCCGGACCCAACTGGAAGCTTTGGTCACGTCGTTGGAAACGTCGCCGTATTTTGCAAGTGGAGAAGACTCTCATGTGGACGTCTCTGGCGCGGCTAGCTTTGTTTTTGGATCAGGATCGGCAGCAACCGCCGCAATGTGCGTTTGGGCAGGTCTGCAGGCGAACGAAGGAGGTGGAGGTGGGAAAGACGGCGTCAACGGTGGTGGAGGCCATGTTTTGGCCGTCAATGATGTGGTCAGTCGTCGTGTAATTTTATAAGCATGACCAATCGCTGATGTTGATAGTATGGAGGATCGGCCAGGTACTTGGCTCGAACGTCTAAGTCTACCGGACTGGAAGTGACATTCCTCGATATGGAAAAGGCGGGTGAAGAGGGAATCAGGAAAGCACTCCGACCAGACACTAGGGTACGCGTCACTCTTCCCTACCCTCTTTCTTGCTGACCCAAGTAGCTCATATGGCTGGAAGCTCCCACCAACCCACAACTCTTGGTTCCGCCTCTTCCGACCATCGCCAAGATCGTTGATGCTCTCCCCATCGAGACTCGTCCACTCGTGATCGTCGACACCACCTTCCTCTCTGCCTTCTACTTTACTCCCTTGATCCCAAGTGGCCCAGGGGTGCTTCCTCTGGGAGATGTCACTCTTTCATCACTCACCAAGTACGGCTCGGGTCACTCGGACATCATCATGGGCTCTCTCACCGTATCTCAACATACCGCCCGCACTCGACCTAACGTTCTCAAGGGCCTCCAATTCCTACAAAACTCCCTTGGAGCAACAGCCAGTCCTCGTGATTGTCACCTGATGATCCGCAGTCTCAAGACTCTGAGCGTGCGGATGATCCGACATGGAACAAATGCTCTTCGAATCGCGGCTTGGTTGAGGGACCAGCCGGAAATCGAGCAAGTGCGCTATCCAGGCTTGACGACGGATGGTGCGTTCCACATGGTGGAAGCTCTTCTTTCGCCGAACGCGAGGCGAGAGTTGGAATTCTTTGGCTGGAAATTCCCCTTCGAGCCGTCTACGGATACTTCCAATAGCATCGACTCCCTCGCCGGCATCAGGACCCTAGGTATCCCGTTCGGCGGCATGGTGTCATTCAAGCTCAAAGGGGCGTCGGCGGCACAGATTGACACGTTTGTCACCAGTCTTAGGTTGATCACATTGGCTGAAAGTTTGGGAGGGGTGGAAAGTCTTATAGAGGTACCTGCTGGTATGACGCACAAGGTACGCATGGACAACTATCTCATTGTCTGATTGCCTCACTGACGGGGTAGGAACTGGGAGAGGAAACACGTCTGGCTCTCGGAATCACTGACAATTTGGTGCGCTTCTCGGTTGGGATTGAAGACGTCGAAGATCTCATTCAGGACTTGAGAATTGGTTTCGCTGCAATTCGTCAGTAGCAAGTGGGTACCTATAGATGCGAAAACTCGGATGTGTCTACAGTAGACGAAGACAATGCATATATGTATGTACATGATGTAAGAACAGACTGCATGGCCGGCAGGACAAGCTAGCTACCCGGGATGTACAACGCTTCCGCCTCACTTGATTCATACGTAATCCCGCGAAACTCCGCAAGGTTCCTCCCTCCCTGCCTTCCCCTTCGTCTCGGCTTGTATTCTTTCTTCGTTACATACATTCCGTCGAAATGGTTCGATACGCCTCAGCATCCATCGCCACTGCCAACCCAGAGAAATGTTAGTGCTATCCGTCTTGTCATTTCTCTCCTGATGCTTTCTTGTGCCGAAGAGGAAAGGGTTCTTAGCTGACCACATCCAGTTGCCAAAGCTCAGGGTGAGTATGTTCGAACGCATTTCAAGAACGCGCGAGAGGTCGGCGCTGCCTTATCTGGTTGGTGTTCCTCGTATGGCTAGGCCGAACTGTTGCTGACAGCTAGGGATGAACCTGAAGAAAGCCTACACCTACCTCGCCGCTGTGCAGGAGCACCAACAGGTCATTCCTTTCCGCCGATTCGCCGGCGCCATTGGTCGTACCGGTCAAGCAAAGGCTTTCAAGACGACAAAAGGTGTGTCCGAATTCTCATTCTGCCCCAACGTGGATCAAAGCTGACTGTACAAGGTCGTTGGCCCACCAAAACCGTCGCTCACTTCCTCCGTCTCCTCAAGAACGCAGAGTCAAATGCGGATGCCAAGGACCTGGCGGTGGAGGAGCTGTTCATCAAAAACATTGTCGTTCAACAGGCCCCCAAGACGAGGCGAAGGACTTTCCGTGCTCACGGTCGAATGTGCGTCGAATCATCAAGATGTGTGAGACTAGTCACTGACATGCAGCAACCCTTACCAGGGACACCCCTGTCACATTGAGATTTTCCTCTCCGTCCCTTCTGCCCAAGTTCCGCGTGCCAAAGACCTCGACGTGTCTGCTTCATCGAACACGAGGAAGGGAAAGAAGACTGCCGCTATCGAGGCTTAGAGGAGTGCCTGAGGATGAGCACTACGAGCAGGGGATGTGTATTATGGATTGCATTCATGCTTTGCATTTTCACGCCTAATCTTGTTCATTCGACCATTGGTGTCGGTTCATCTCAGCAGGCGGATGTCCATACAACCCCGGCGTGAGCTACTGTACAATGGAGAGAGTGATCTGCATCATGAAGATCAGACTAACCTCGCATGCCTGGCAGAACGCTGCATGCTGTTTGTGGTTTTGTGCGAATTTACTGATTATGTGACAAGTCATGTGCTTTGCACCGCTCCAATCACTCTTCATCCCCGAAAAGGTTCCAGTCCTCGATCCTCAAGCTTCCGACTGATCTCTGCCACCAAGCCTCTACCATCTGCCTCTCTCTGTAGCCATTCCCATCAGAAGCTGACAAGTTGACGTTGACGCTATACACCAAGTCGGCTTTCTTTTTTCTCACTCCGTGACCCCCGCCTGTATCGAGATCGGTCACAGGAGCGTCCTCCAAAGGCCGAACCTGCTCCACCCAACATCGCCAAAGAGCCACCCCGATCCATACCTCGTCTGGATCATCCCTCTCGTGGCCTGGTCGAGGTGCTCCCGAAGGGTCCTGAGAATACTTGTGAACTTTCTGCAACCCTGTCAAAATGACCGGCTGAGGGGTCGAATCGAGCGATTCGGTGGGTACGGCAGGAAGAGGTCGTGAAGGTATCGGAGAGCCAGGCGATGGAGTGAGGACGGTTGTAGATAGAGATGAATTGTCGTGTGCGATGGATTCGAAATGAAATCTGAGCGTGTTGCATCAGCCACCAATAATCATCGAAGGGTTGGGTGGCGAAGAGAAGAGATGGCTCACTCACTTTGTGGCTTCCCACAGATCTGACGAGGCTTGGCCTTCCTCTACCATAGAGAGAACTTCGATAACTATGCTGGTGTCCGATGCGGATGATAGGAAGACTTCTTGGTTGTCAGGAACTTGTCGAAGATCACTGTGGAGGGATTATCAGCCAAGGTCATTGTAGTATGTGATATATAGTTCGACCTTCCCCAACATATGATCGGGGCCAAAAGTACGAACACACCTGGCATCGATGTAGTCCTGTGGGAGCATTATAGATATAGCTCCTCCGAAGAGGGGGCGAGGTACGAGTGGATCAGCTGCCATCTTTGTTAGAAGTGAGTAGTTGTGGAGATGCAAATACATCTGAGCAGGCATGGAATTGTCCACCTGCCAATGTCCAACACGTGGCGCTTACGTAAACTTGCCTTCCCGGATCCGCCTCGCCCATCTCAAACTCTGTCTCTGCCTCTCTCTCTCTCTCGTTCAAAACCTGTCGTCTCACCATCGTCGCCCTACAAGATGAGCCAGTCTGGTCCTCCCGCCGACGCAAAACAAGCTCACGCCGCCGTTCTCGCCGACGCAGAAGCCGCTATCAAACGCAAACGTGCCATCGACACCGCCCTGGTGAGTCAGCCGGACGTTGGTGATAGTGATGGTGGTGAGAGTGCTAAAGGATATCAGGCCAGCATCGAGAACGCCATTCACGATTACGAGGGGAACTATCTCATGAGATCTGCTGCAATGGGCGGAAACATCATCAGAGTGAGTGGTAAGAAGTAGCATATGAAGGCTGGTACTGATTACAGGGATTCGACAACGTTCTAAAACAACCTACCGCTGCGTTGAACAAGAAAAAGGTCGATCAAGTCATCGAAGCCGATAGATTGTTCAGTAACAGTAGTAGTACTTTCCAGCAGGTCAGTCATGATCAGTTATAACATGAGTGATCATCACTGACATGACTTTACTCTGTCTCTCGGTCATACAAACAATGTGATATCACGTCAACAGAGCATCGCTGCTAAACAACAACTCGAATCCAATCTGGCGTACGTGTCTGCTCGTCCGACAAAGTAGAGCGCGAGCCGATTACGTTTCCCCCTTTTTTGTCACTTTCCCAAATTTTGTGCATATGGTCACCACGTATCTTTTGTCGTTGTCGCCGTTGACCGTCGCTTCGACGGATACGTTCACGTTGCAGGGCACAACATTCCCTTTTCCCTACGAAGGGGGGTCATACCCCTCTTCTTCGTCCGAATCTTCATCCCACGTCGACATTCACGCAAATTTCTCCCTCGTTCGGTTTCAGCACTCCCCGGATCACTCAGTCTTTCTTTCCAAACACAAAACCTGCTGGCACTACGATTCATCCTCCGACTGCAAATGTTCCCGCCACGATACGCCTCACCTCTCGCACACCCGCACCGGCCAACGTAGGTCCATCGTCGTCAGGAGCGACCGCCGTGGATGAAGATGCGGTGATAATGGAACAATTCGTCGCCGATACGCCGGGCAGTTCGACCAGTACGAGTACTTTCGTTCCGGACGCGAACGACAAAGCCCAGAAAAAGCCACAACCGGTGCGGAAGACATCATCAGTCACGAACAGAAGCAAATCCCGCAGGGGTTGATTCAGAGGATCAGATTCGTATATCTATTCATGCATGCCATCACACCAATGCATCAATTTTTTTCTGGCTGGTACAACAAACAAATTGGAAGTGCACATACTCACATTCACTCCTCCCTTTCCGCCAGGATATCATATCCCGCTCTGGTCTGTCCTCCCGCTGCTGGGAGCTCGCCCGTCTCTCCTAGTTCCGGCTCATGTGGTAGATGAACTTGGGGTGGAGGTGGGAACAACACTGGTCGCAACAGGCCGTTGAAGACAAATGTTCCGTATCTGCATCTCAGCGCAGCACAAGAGTCAACCAGGTTGCGACTCACACGAGCATTCCAAACCCCATCACTTGCAGTAATGAGAATGGCCAGACGAGCACCTCCCAACCTACGCCCAAACTTACGATCCAGATTCCTAATGTCCGGCATGTGTCAATTGTGCTCCTGGTAGTCGCGCTGACGCTGTGGGTGACACTGAGACCAAAGAAGTTGAAAGCGCCGATGCTGATGGCGATGGCAACACTGGTCCACATAACACTCGGGGTGGAAATGATCTGATGCCAGCCTAGTGGGACGTCGAAAAAGGGAGATCGGGCATGAAAGAAGAAGTGGAGAAATGGCATGGCCGACAATGTAGTGACGAGACCGAAAAAACCTTCTAGTGACACGGCAGCGAGAGGGTCGACTTTGTAACGAGACAGTATCTTCTCCTCTACCACCTGTGTTCAGTCAGAATGGGTCGATTGGATATGAGTGGTGGTACATACATATTGACAAGCGGTAAAGTTCTGAGCGAACAGTATGAGTACAACTCCTAGTGCGACTTTGGCAGGATCGTCGTCACTCCGCTTTGCGATCTCTGACATGGCCGAGATGAGACTTTGATGTTCATTGTCTAGTGGTTTCTTCGTCAGGCTGCCAGATAGACCTACGAGACAAACACCCAGTGTCACGATGACGAGTGAGGTCCATTGATATAGCCAGAGGTGTCTCCGGAGGAAAATGACGGACAATATTCCCACCCATAGTACGAGAGCGCCTCTCGACATTTGGTAGATGGACACAGGCGTGAAGATGAGTCCAACGTTCATTAGGGTAGTACCGCAGACTGCACCCGTAAGCTAGCAGTCACGGTATGGACATGACGCACTATCGAAGAAGGCCGGAAACCACATCCAGCATACCCTCCAGCCTGTGAGTGAACGGTCGGAGTCGATGAAAAAGGACTCTGCTGTGTCATCATCGATAGATGAATCGTCGTCCTGTGTCACCTGGCTGTACCCTGTTGGCACAGTCGATGTCGCGGTTATGATAGGTAAACGAGCCAAGATGCGAGTGAAGATGGAGGTTTGAGGTCTGGACCCTGATATCCGTCGTTTTCTGGCGTAGAAGGTCCATAGCAAAGGGATTACACAAAGCGCTTCGCCAACGAACATGCTGGAGTTTGTCAGTATCGTCATGTTTGGACGGGAAGAACGCACTTGACTGTCTGCCACACCTACGTGTCGTCAGCAGCTTGTCAGATCTAACACTCTTAAAGGGGGGATGCACAAGAACACGGGCCATAGCAGTGCATAGAAAGGATGTAAGAGGAGGAAGAGGGGCTCACTGGCTGCTCAAAGTCGATAGGTGGACCGGGGGCATCCGGACCACAGTTGTCCACACACTGCTTATCTTGATATTTGGTTCTGATGGTGAGCTGCGACTTTCTGATGAGATCTTGTATACTCACAGCAGGCTGTTCGCACATCCCGTCAAGAACATTCCCACTACGAGCGTAGACACGCCCATCTTTGAAGACATGGTTGTAAGACGAGGCGAGAGTGAGAGATAAGTAAGTAGAGCTTGACTTGAGCGAGTTGAATCACCGCGAACAGCCGATGTCTAGATGTCATGTGATTTCCATTCCTCCTCTTACTACCTTTCCTTTTCTCTTTTCGTCGTCATGGAAGTGGATCATGTCGAGTCGCATGGGACTGAGCAGCAAGCGGACAGCGTCCAACAGCTCGATCACTCAGTAGAAGACGCAGCCAACGAGCTCGGTGAGCTCTTGGTCAAGCTCGACCTTCAGCCATTGAGCGTACCTCTCCTCAGTCGGCAGATATGTCTCCTTCGCAGGTTGGGAATGATAGAGGAAGCATTGGAGGCTCGACTCAAACTTTCTTCGCTGATCATGCTCGATCAAGGCAAGTGCACTCTTCTCGCCTGAGCTGACTCGCTGACATAGTAGACACTTGGCTCTCGTACTTTGATGATCTCTTCGAATCCTCCGTGCAGCCCGTGACTTTGGACGTCTTCGTCGAGATGCTGGAGCGTTTTGATCAAGCTGAAAAGGACTACTTATGTGAGTATTGTGGATGGATCAGATAAGTAGACCGACTGACAGAGTAGCCAGCGCTGTGCTGGTACGACATGTCGAGTTCATCCTACGATGCACCTCTCACCTCTATCCCCCTCCCGAAGACTCCCAGCTCTCTAAACCTTCCATCAGCGTCGAGGCAGATGTGGCTGAGTTTCTGTCCGAGGAGACAGTACGGGGAATGCTTCAGGGCGTGGTACAGCGAGGCAATCAATTACTGGGCGAGAGTCATCTGCTATGGCAACCATGGATCGATTGGGAATTAGATCTAATGAAGACGAAAATCGATGAGGAGCAGAGGTGCGTTCCTACTCGATTTGAACTTCTCTGATACATCTTAGGTCCTCTCACATCGACAGAATACATGCAGCATACCTGGACCGTATGACTGTCCCGCACTCCAGTAGGTCTTCCTCTTCAAGCGTAGTAGTCTAGGCTCATTTCAGCCTTGGATGCCACGTCTAGCTCTTATTCGAGCTTCTGCTCCCAATATGCCCCGAATACCTATGAACAACGTCTGATAAACGCCACGAACGCCGCACAGAATGCGAAATTCAAGTGGAATGGAGAGAAACGACACGGCAAGACAAGAGAGGACCTTGAACAAGAACTGGTAGGTCGTCTGTCTCTGAGTGAATCACTCTGACTTGCAGGCCTATGCACCTGATATCACTGCACAACTTCAAACATTTGCGTCATATATATCCTGGGAGACCGATCAACACGCCAAGCATCCTAAAATACCGGGCAAGTCACCTGCTACCGATGTTTTCTTAACTCGCGGAGTCTTCGAGAGGACAATCGCAACGTATGGGCGGATTGTGGCAGCTTTACAATCCACGATAATCACTACTCCCCCGCCGTCAACCGCATCCGAAATGGAAAATACCGCCAAGAAGGGGAAGGGAAAGGCCAAATCGACCAGAGAAATCGAGAAGGCCCGCCGAGAAGAGACGGAGGCCACCACTCAGGTCACCATTCAGGCGTACAGAGAAGCGGAGGCGGGAATCTGGAGTCAGTTTGCGGCTTGGCTTGTGGGTTTTATCTGTCCGTTGGTGCCTCATTAACGAACAGGAAGCGAATGGTCACTCGGATGCTGTGCAAGACATCAAATCTCGCGGGGCAAGAGCATGCCCAGAGGTTGGATCCATTTGGTGCTCCTTATTAACTCATATGGTGAGGTGCCAGTTTAATAGTACGCTCATTGACAGGAATGTCATGGCGCTGCGCTTGAAGACCTGACGACCACGTTCGAAAAGGCGATCAACCTGGGCACTTTGGGCCGAAAAGGCGTCCCCTGCACTGCTCTTGTTGACGTCTTCCTACATCGAGCCGCGTTTGAAAGTCGAGCTGAACCGGTCGAGGATGTCGAGGGTGACTATCATCCGGTAATACAAACTCTGAGTCGAGGGCTCGAGGCAGTTGTAAAGTGTACGATTCTACCATCGTGCAAAAAGCCTGCTGACGTTCAGTTAGTCAAGCTGGTGATCCAAGCTTGCGCCTCGAGAAGTTTTTATTGGACTGGGTACGTTGATGCTGCTTCTCGGTCTGACGCGCTGATACCTTGGTAGGCTGAATCACGAGCTCCAAAATTCTTGAACGAAACTATCTCACTCCTGAGCAAACCCAGTAAAAGCCGACTATCATCCTACCAGATGACGATACTGCGATCGGGCATCGAAACGTGGGTGCTCGTGCGCGAAATATGTCGCTAACCTCGTAGCCGTCGGGGAAACATTGAAGAAGCTCGAAATCTCTTCACTACTGCCCTTCAGAGATCGGACTTGGACTGGCCAGAGGCTGTCTACGAAGCCTTCATACAATTTGAGAATGTGCATGGTGACCTCGATACCGTACTCGACGCTAACAAGCGGATAGCGAAGGCTCAAGAGAAGCTTGCCAAACGTAGAGAGAAAGCCGCACAGGAGCAGACGGCGCAGTATCAAGTCGTCGCCCAATCCGGCACGTCAGCCACAACCGCTGAGCTCTTGGTACCATCCACTGCCGTGGCAGTCGACGGCCAAGGACTTTCGACGGCAGCTCCGGTCACCACTGCGCAGGCATCTACTTCGCAGGAAGCAGAGAATACACCCCTCAAGCGGCAAGTAGTCTCCTTCAGCTGTTCCTTACATCACTGACTAAGTCTAGGGATCGTGAACATACCACAGTTTTAGTCAATGGACTTCCCAAGGGTGCAGACGAGGCGCGTATTGCCCACTTCTTCTCCGAAGTAAGAATCTTATCATGTCCAAGGCTGCATGCTGACGACGAGTGTGGTCCCATACGAGAGACAACCATCTTATCCGAGCATGAGCACGATCATATTGCAGCCTTGGTAGAGTTCCGAGATGTTGATTCCATCCCCGACGCCCTGACTCGGGATCGAAAAAAGCTGGCAGGCAATGAGGTGGCCGTCTCAATGCTATGGCGGTCGACCTTATTCATTACCAACTTCCCACGGAGCATGGACGATGCTGGCATCCGTCAACTGCTTTCATCGGTGAGTTGACCAATACGATACGCTGCTAATAATCAGTATGGCCTCATCCTACAAACACGATGGCCCAGTCGTAAATACGCAGATTCTCGGCGCTTCTGCTACGTCACAATGGATTCACCAGTGAGTGAGAACGTCTTCAGTCGAGCTGATATCAGGCGTCGGCTCAGAACGCCCTGCAGCTGCATGGGCAACCAACAACAGAAGGCTTCAATCTCACCGTCCTCATTTCTGACCCGTCAGCCAAGGCGCGCAGATCGGATACATCCAAGACGACATTATTTGTGGGTGGTCTGACGGCTAAGAGCACCGCACCAGATGTGGAGAAGCTCTTCAGTCAGGTGCGTTTCTTTTCCATCTGAGGTGATGGAAGCAATGCTCATATGTTGCAGCGCGGCGCAGTGCAACACGTCAACCTGGGTTGGGATCAGGCTAAGCAGATCTGCAAAGGTTTCGCCTTCGTGGAGATGGCCACCGAGGCGAGTAATTTCTTTCCAGCCAGACATCAGCTGACAAGAACAGGCCGATGCTCAGGAAGCTTTGAACCTGCACGGCTCTCACATCAACGGCCGATACCTGAAAGTTGAGATGCATGATCCGAACCACGTTACCAAAAAACGGACGACAAGGTCAGTATTCTCCTGTTGCCCTGCGATGATGATGCTGAGCCTTCAGTGCCCCCAGAGAAGCTATCGAGAGAAGAGCCAGAACGGTCCGACTATCTAATCTTCCATCGGATACTCAAGAGGGTTTGCTTCAACAAGCCTTGGAGAAAATTGTTTCGGTCAAAAGGCTCGAACTGTTCAGCAAGGTTCACCAGGCGGTGGTTGAACTCGAGTCACAAGTGGTCAGTCTTTGCTTTATTCCCAAGGAGGACATTGATAATTCAGGATGCTGGACTACTTCTCTTGCAATCTGAACCATTCATATTTGGTGGCGCTACGATAGAGATCCGAGAAGAGCAACGAAGACCACTCCCCCACAAGAGCGATCATACACCTCCCGCAGCAGGGCAGGCGACAGTCGCACCCTCCACATCACTTTCGTTCGCTCCTCGTGCGGCCAGAAGAGGAGGCAAAGCCATCGGGAAGGGTAGACAAGCGCCGCCTCAAGACAAATCGCTACATCCCTCTTTCGTCAAGGCAAGCACTCACTCAAACAATGAAACGGACAGTGGACAGGTGGATTTCCGTGCAATCGTCGCTGCGAAGAATAAGCAACGGCAAGGTAAACTGCTGGAAGCGCGACACGAGCAATCTGTTGGTGGTGAATCACAAAATGGAGTGAAGCGATCCCCAGAGGAGGCCTCAGAAGCACCAGGGGCAAAAAGATCAAAAAACTAGTCGAGGTAAAATGTGATTCATCAGAAATCTCGTCATGCATGGATGCGTTGTAGCCAATACATAATCGAGGGATGCGAGCAAAAGTTGAGAGCCAGTCTCTCATCCTCTACCAAACAGGCGACGCCACCAACGTCGAAAACTGAACCACTTTCCTCCTCTCCATCCTGCATCCCTCACCTCTAGTCCAACCCACATACGACCTGTCCCACTGCGCACGACCCCTTCCTCCGACTCGACAGCGACCTGTGGGATGCGTGCAATTTCTTCTCCATTAACAAACACTGTCTCCCAACGTGAGCTTTCCCCACTTTCGAGATCTTTGATTCCCCTTCCTGGTCGAACAAAAGGAAAACGTACGTCCTTGACTTTGCCTCCTCTGGTTCGAGTGATCGAGACGGGGAACAACTTCATCAAAGACTCGGCTTCTTCATCGCTGATGTGCACAGGGAACGTCCAGAGTCGATAGCGAGGGCGATTCAATTCGGCCTCCTCGGTGGCTATGTCATCTTCAGTCGGATCATCTTCCTCTTCTTCGTCGACGATAGCATGTTCCGGGGCAGGACCTCCGTAGAGACCTCTGGCCATCTCACTGTCATCACTCATCGTGCGACGAGCGCTGAGCAGATGAGTACGATCATCTGCGACGGTCGAGTCCAGTCGATGACGCTGAGGGACCATTGCGTTGCTTCTCAAAGCTGCGGCTTGGAGTACTCTCGTCACGCTGTCGTTCGCATCAGTCATCTCTGGAAGCAGAGGCGAGTTGACATTACTGCTCGGGTCAGGGATTTCTCGGACTGCCAGCTGGGTATCCATAGAGGTCCGAGTTGTTTGCAGAGGATTGGGTATCGAGGTGGAAGTTGATACATCCATTTTACTTCCTGGTTTGCGAGAAGGTGGGGGTGGAGGAGCGGGACCGCGTCCGGATGGAGTTCGTTTCTGAGGAGAGATGGATCGTGCGTCGATGAAGGGATCGGACGTGGCCCGAGAACGAGAATTGGGGTCGTGTCGTGGGGGTAGAGGAGGTGCTTGACCGTCGGAGTGAACGTCTGTCTCGCCACTCAAGACTTCTTCAATCTGAAGAGGTTGAGCTGGCCGTCCGGGAAAGCCCAATTGAGAGAAGGAGCCGGACCCCAGGGACCGTTCTTGTGAGCCAGACGAGGGCTTAGAGCGACCGAGTCGCATATTGGAATAGGACCGAGGGATGGTTCGAATTCGCTTCAGCCTAGGTGGTGTGGTCAAGGGTTGATCGGTGAAACCCAGAACGCCTTTGAGCACCATGACTGCTTCGTGCATGAATTCCGGGCCGCTGTACGTCAATATCCTTACAGACCTTCCCGTATAAGAGATTTACCCGGATTCCAGGAAGACAGCATCGTCTAACTCCCAGATTACCCTCCTTTGTCCACCACCACCTCGATTCTCGTCTCCTCTACTCTGAGCCCGTAGGACTGACCATAGACCGCGGAAGAAAGGCTCAACGCCACCGGCATTGTTCGCACACCAGGTCGAGATGAACCGCGATAATTTGTCCCTCCGTTCGAGCTTGGCTGTTTTGCCATGGAGCAGTAGACGAGCCGATGGGGTGAGAGAACCGGAGGCAACGGTCGTGGAAATGAGGGCATGGAAGGAAGAGATGCGCAGACGCAAATGGTGAAGATGTGCCAGGGCACGAAGGGATGATTGTAGTCGGGTGTATGCCGCTCGGTGAGAGGGAGGCAGTGAAGCCAGGGTACTCGAGATGTAGGTCGCAGATTCTTCAGGCGGATTGGGAGAAAAGTAAAAACGACGACAATGATGAGCGAAGTTACGCAGGTCCTATGAAAACGTATCAACGAATAGCTATACATGTAAATTGACGAACTCACAGTGGGATTAGGGCTAGTGACGCCTTCGGTCCGCCCTCCATGAACGCTACCCTCACGTCCGCTATATACACTCGTCCCTCCAGCTGTACGTACCAATCCAGGGGGTGGTGTCGCTCTGCCACGAGCCGGCTGAGACCATACCGCGGGAGGAGCGGGAAGCGCATGGTCGGAACCTCGGCGTACGGTGAGGGGACGGCCTACTGCCTCTTCGGACCCTTTGCGTGCCCATCCAGGGCGCTGCTGCGTTGGATGGACAGAGGGTGATTCAGGTGGAGAACGGAGGTTAGAAGAGGGGAGACCACTCCTGCCCGCTCCAGGAAGAGCGGCGAGACCACCCGGTCGAGGTCTTGGGGCAGATTGGGATTGAAGGGCAGAGACGGTGAATGAGCCCGGAATCTCGTACAATCGAGGAGGCCTGGGAGGACCAACAGGGGGTGGAGACCGATCAGCTGTTCTGTGAGGATACGGGGCATGATCACGAGTGTCGACACGGAGGGGAACTTTGGTGGAGGCCATAACGGTATGATGACAAGGAGAAGGTGGGTAATCAAAGGAAGACGAAGATGAGCCAAGGACGGACGTGTCGGGCAGAATCCGAGTCAAGCGGTTTCAATGAACCAAGGGGATTGACGAAATGGGACAATCAGGTGGCCATCCCTCAATGATGATATGAAGCAAAGCAATCGTTCAGTGTGTGTGAGAGAGCAAGTGAGAGGGATAATGTACAAGAGTCAGATGGAAGAGGACAAAGGTGAAGGGAAGGTAGGTCGCAATGTTCATTGTCAGCGTGGCCCGGTTAAAGGGTCGCGCAGTCGCGTCATGCTCGGGTGGGCCAGTGGTCAGTGGGGGTCCAACTACAGACACCGCATACATTTGTACATTCCTCGATTCCTCTGCGTTTCCCGTCACCATTTATTCTTACACACTTCCCTGTCTTTTCTGAGCCCACTGATACTCCGATGGTCCATGATCGATGACCGGCTATCCGCCGACCTTCAATCCTTGTTCAAGGTAACATTCCCCAAAGACTAATCAGCGTCGGTCCCTGTTCGATCAGCATCGCGTCTCCTGGCCCCTGCGTCTCTGCCCACTCACCTGTTGAACCACACGTAGCCTGCATTGAGATAGGTGGCTACTGGTGAGCTTTATCACAATACCGACATGCATCAACTGACCGTATCCAAGCCAAGCACAGTACGGGGCCAGGAACCAAGTGGTCGAGAACGGCGTGTTGAGGCCGTGCATCTTGACCTGTAAGGGATGAGCTTCCCGGTACCTGCATAGAGCGAAGGATCGAGACTTACAGTCATAGCCAAAACGGTCCCCGTCAATGCCAAGATATTACCAAGGGCAACTTCTTTTTGCTTGGCTATCATGGTCAGCATGGCTTCCGACATCACTTGTCAGAACGGACCTCCGAAGAAGAGAGGCGTCCAGACCATGTTCAAAGCCAGCTGAGCGTAGTACAGCTGAAGAGCTTTATCCGCTTCTGCACTATCAATCAGCCAAGAGGGTCATCATGCTTGGTTGACTTACGTAGCCGAGGGAGTTATGGCGCTGTCGAAGGCCTCGACGGTCAAATGCGACGCTTAGTTTCAGTCAAAAGCACACGTCTGAAAGCTCCTAGCTTACCCCATCCCATTGCTCCATAAAGCAAAGTCCAGACCTGATCCGTTAGTAGCCTCATACGAGCGACGGTGGGAAAACTCACTGGACCGAAAACTTCCTTGGGCGGATTACCAGGAGGAGGGGACATGGTCTGGGTCCACTCAGCAAGTGCACAACCCGGGCTATTGACAACTCACGGTGAACCAGTTGCTACGGGATGTCTGACCGGTTATGACCCCACTGATGGCACCGAGCCCAATGGGGAGGCCGACTGAGAAGTGAGCAGAGAAGTTGAACTACGATTGAGAACTCACTGGCGAAAATAGGGTTCCTGGCCACATCGAAGAGCACCTCAGGTAAGGGAGACATGACGAATGGGCTTTATGGTCGAGTTGATCAAGAAATTGCGATGGACAAGCAATGGGGACAAGAGATAAAGAAGACGAGAAGGGTTAATACTGTAGGGCCCGCATGTACAGAGTTCACGTCGATGACGTAGCGAGAGTTCTCACAGTGGCGGGTGGCAACGTGGCGGACCGGGGAATGCGGGGCTCCACAGATCCCATCCACCGGAGAGAAATTTCCTCTCTCTCTCAGCTATTCCGTCGCCTCTAGGCCTACTTCCGGCCTACTTACTGTAGTAGCACAAGTGGCCACAGTTTATCTTTGTTGTCATGTCCCCCTCAGCATCAAAATCTCAGCTCCCTCCTCTTCCCTCGGGAAAAGAATCCCGAACACCTCAGCGCCAGGATGGCATCTCGTATATCGATCAGGCATTCGAGCACCCTTCCGTCCTTTCACCACCTTCCACCCCTTTAGAGCAGCTTGCGAGCCTCAGCGGTTCAAGCACCGAGGAAGAGGGAGAAGATGACGGGCTGCCGGTGGAAAGAATATGGTCTGGCCCCCATCCCCATTTTGCAGTCCCCTCTCTCTCGCCGGCTAGTCGGGGGGAGTCGGACGGGGAAGCTGAAGGGATCTCATATTCTGATGAGCTCGAGGACTCTGTGGAGGCGGAATGGGATATTGAGGATGAAGATTGGGAAATGGCCCATGGAGGTGAGTTCACTCCACATCAGACACGGGCTCAGACTTACTTTTCCAGATTTCACCAAGCAATACAACCGCCTTCGACAACGGCAACAAGCCTTAAACCCCGCCACAGGCCCATCCACTTCCCAACCGCAGCCTGTACCGCTGCCGGCGCAGAATTCACATCTCGCCAACTCACGAGAGAAAAAGGGCAACCGATTCGTTGGCACTCGTGCTATCGTCCATGGAGGCGTCAGCTCCAATCCGAAGGCTGAGAACGATAAGCACGTCAAAGACAAGAGCGATCGAGCGACGCAGGAACAGGTGCTCGATGGACGTACACGGTTGGTTCTCGCCGGACTCGTCAACAGAGATATCATTGGCCCTTTCACTCACTGCATAAGTACCGGAAAAGAGGTGTGTTCGGTTCGTTATGGCTCATTATGGGCCTCTGCTAACAGCCCCTCGACAGGCAAACGTCTATCATGCCACTGCGTCACCCAATCGACCATTGAGTTTGCAACAATACTCAGAGTTCGCTGTCAAAATATACCGGACATCAATCCTCCATTTTCGAGCCCGACAGGCATACATGGAGGGCGAACATCGTTTTCAAGGCGAGTATACGTCTTCCCGTAATCCCCGCAAAATGGTGAGGGTCTGGGCGGAGAAAGAACTGAGAAATCTTAGACGTCTGGAGCAAGGTGGCGTCCGGGGACCGAAAGCTATCGAATTGAAGGAGAACGTCTTAGTCATGGAATTCTTAGGAGATGGAGACAGGTAATACCTTGGTTGCGAAGTCGTTGATCTGGCGCTAACGTCCTTACAGCGCCTCACCTCGTCTGAAAGATGCTCCAATCGAAGCCGACCGACTTCCGGACCTATATGCGGAGCTGTTAATAGCCATGAGGAAAATGTACCAGCACTGCAGACTGGTACATGCTGACCTGAGCGAGTACAATATACTGTGGGTCGAGCATTTGATATGAAATGAGGATTCACTAATCGAACAGATACCACCAATCACATCTGTATATCATCGATGTATCACAATCTGTGGAGCACGACCATCCACGAGCCTTCGACTTTATGCGCACCGATATACGCAACGTTGATGACTATTTCCGTCGACGATCCGGCGGGGAAGTCAATACGCTGGGTTTCCGACGTACGTGGGACTTTGTCGTGAATGATACGGTTGATTCTTTGACCAAAGAGGATGAAATGGGGGAGGATGGCGACATCAGATTGACCGATGTCCTACAGACTTGGCTCGCCAAACCAGACGGAGAAAATTTGGCTATTCAGTTGGCCAGGCCCGATTTGGAGGTTCTAGCAAAAGAACGCGACTCAGCCACACAAGTTGACGAAGCGGTATTCATGACATCGTACATTCCCCGTAATCTGGCTCAAGTATATGATCCGGAGCGTGACGTTGAGCTTCTGCGGCGGGGCGATCATGATAAACTCATCTACGCCGGAATCACAAACCTCTCCCTCGGGGCAAAGAGCCAAAGCCACGAGGTAACGGGTGACGAGAATCATTCACCAGGGAAGACCGGTGATGGAGGATCGGATGCGGGGATCGAGAGATCGCGATCCGGTGGTGACAGTGCTGGAGAGTCAGAGTCCGGGGAAGAGCATAATCGGGCTCCACGAGGGTTCAGACATGAAGATCGAGAGGCGAAAAAGGGGAGTTTTTTGAGATCAACCTCGATCGCGTGGCTGACCTTTCAGGATCGGAAGAAGGCGGTCAAGGAGCAGAACAGGGAGAAGAGGAAACACAAGATGCCGAAAGCGGAAAAACAACGTTTGATCAAAAAGACAGCGGTCAAGTGATGCATGTGAGTTGGGTGTGACCCCGTCATGTGACCGCCGATCTAGTTGTAATGTACTGTAATTAATCAAATGTCGCCAAGATCGCCGATGGACCCCAGGTGGAGAACATCGACCATTGCTGAACGTACAGTACGTCTGGCATATCGTCACTATGCCGTCACCCACTCGCTCCGATACAAAGTCCCCTCTATCTCCCCGGTTCGTCCAGCCAGGGCCGCTGGTTGTTGTGACGTTAGCAGCCGTACGTAGCTATAGACGTGCAGCCGTTAGTCGCGATCTCATTCATGGCCCATGGTCACATCTTATTTGACGTCACTCGAAACCCTCTCGTATCGAACGCTGCCCAGTCGGCAGTACTTAATGGACGCGGTGCCGAGCCTTGCGTCTTCATCGAGTCCTCTACATTACTCTCAAGCCAACTTGAATTCTCACCACTAAACCACCGCAACCATCACACATCACATCATCATGTCCTCTGAAGCCGGATTTGTCAACACTCAAGCCAACATCTCGCAGAGCAACGTAAACGCTACCCGGGAGGACCAGGTCGCTGAGGACAGCGAAATCACTGGCACCATTTCAAAAGGTTTGTCATTCGTTCATTTCCACGTATCAAGCTGAAAGATCACAGACGAGGTCGAAGGCCTCAAAGACAGTCTCGGAGGTGGTCAAACTCTCGATGACTCCGAAGGATACACTCGCTCCTCTAACCAGAATAACGACGCTATGCAACAGGAACGAGAAATCGACGCAGCTGTCGATGAGTTGGAGTAGATGATTGGTTATGGGTTATGGGCACTTTTCAACGGGTAGGGGAAGTCGTGCAAAGAAGTGCAACGGTATGAAGTGATGCAGACCTTTCGCTGCAGATACGTTTGCATTCCGCTTCATTCATGTCTCATCACACAGTCTAAGGGCGATCGAGTACTTCAGGGCAGTTTCGGTTTCATTGCAGAGCCGTCCACAACAGAGTTTGGGGTAGAGGGCCGAGTGGATAAAGGAGTCGGCGGTGCATCCGTGTTGGTACTGGCGGGTAGAAAGTGGAAACGCAGGCGGTGGAGCTGCAGAGTCGCTCAGCTTGAGTGATCCAGTCTGATTACGTGACTTACAATTGGAAGTTTGGGGAACAAGACGAAGCAAAGAGCAGCAAAGTTCAAGGCAAAGAGAATGTAATCATATCGAGTGTAATGCGTGGAAATGAGAAACCTGCGCAAGTCAGAGCTTTCTCTTTGACAAATGGGAGTAGGACTTGCAGACCGATTGGCACGCTAGTCAACCATTTCTTCGCCGGTGTGTACTGGGCCCCGGCATCAATCTGCTCCCACAATGTCAATTCGTCGTATGCCCCTCCGGTAGCAATGCTATTAGAGTAAGCTAGGGAAATAGAGGTAGCCAAGGACACTGACGTTGATTCGAACGGGACACCTGTGACATGATGAAACATGAGGAATGAGACCTGAACGGTCAGTACGAAAATGTGGCGATGACACTAGATCGTCAAGGACTCACGGCCATGTATCCTAAATTCACACAGGTCCAGCCGACATCCTGAGTCATACCCGGAATGGCATCTATCAGCACTTTGGCCACTAAGATAAGAACAGGGTGTATGATCCAAGCACCTATGATATCAACATCAACTCTCAAAGAGGTTTAAATGACAGTCCGTCGAGTACTCGACAGAGCGATAAACCACTTACCTGGCGCATTCACCCAGTTGGCGTTCTCATTCGTGCCTACACCCAACCTGTCAACCACGTTCTCCGGCTCGTCCCCGCCGACCTCGGTGACGGTCACCAGACTTGAGCTTCTCGCCCGTCCTTGACCACCGTTAGAGGTGGAAGCAGTCGTTTGGACGCCTGACTGTGGGAGAGTGGAGGAGCGTGAGACCAAGTTAGTGGACTGAGATCGGAAGAAACCTGACCTTGGAGCGGCCAGGGATGAGGCATCGGATTCAAAATGTGTGTGAACGAAGGAAGATACACCGGATTGAGAGACGGAACGGGCTCTGGCGGGAGATTGAGGGGCCGTCAACGTGACAGCTGGTGGTGGTCCCATGTGTGAGAAGACGGACGAGAAGGAGGGCAACCCGAAGTGATGACGAATGATGAAGATGACTGATTGTCAAAACAAAGGGTAAATAGAGTATGAATGAAGCTTGAGCGAAGGAGAGAGAGAGGATGTCACGACTTTGAGTGAGGAAACGTAGGTTCAGTGATCGAGTGACTGTCAAGCTATGAGAGACTGAATGTACGATGGGAGAGATGTGATTGAGAGGAATGACAACATGATTCGACCATGTTAGATGGACGTGGAAGCCATCAAATCGCATGGACCGCCACCGCCGCAGCAATTCGTGATAACGGCTAGGACGGTACCAAATCACACGTCACTCTCACTACCACCATTTTCGAGATTATGTTGGCTACTGTAAGTCTAATCACCCCTGATAGCTAATAGGTTATCAGAGCTTCCTCAAGACTCCACGGCTAGCAAGGCTCCAGGTCGGTGATCACTCACGGCAGCTAGGCAGCTAGGTAGCCGGCAGCTATCGCTCAGTAGGGCTCGGTCGCGAGGCGGCAGGGAATGCTACGTGCAACTCGTCGCAGGTTGCTTTTAATATCGCCAACGGTACATGTGCGGGCTGCACAAAGTGAGTACTCTCACATCTTTTACCCGCGACCTGAGTCATCGATAACACAAGCAGCCATCACCCGACTCCGGGATGAACATTCTCAGGGATCCGTATCTCCATCTGCTCGTGATGAAGACGCCGAGAACTTGTCTGACCTGCTCGACAGGCTCGCTCAACTGAGGTCGAGAGGACGGCGTCCCACTGTTCACGCCTTCCACGCTCTGCTTGCCGCTGCAGCTCAATACGCAGCTCGCCGGTCCCCACATGGAATGACTACAGGAGTCGTGGACTCATCCGATGATGTCGCATGGGCCGTAGTCCTCAGTGCCCTCAAGGATGCTCACGCTGGCGGTCTCGACTTGAACGAGGGAGTGCTCACCGAAAACCTCACGGCGAGTACAGTTCGTCTTCTCCTGTCGTGTCCGGCTGACCCTTCAGAAGGTTTCCGTTTCGTCTCCTGTAAACCTCACTTTCCTTCTCCGTCATTACAATGGCACGTCGTCATCACTCAGCGCTCCGTATCATGACCTCGCACGTCTGAACCCTACCGCCCACTTTAGCCCCGACTTGCTCGTTCTCGTCATTCAGACCATGTTGGACCTCAAACTCACACCTTCCTCCAAGATCATTCACAATGCCATCTCTGTCCTGTGCGAGGCGGGCTGCCCTCGTACGGCACTCGGAATGATGGAGGCAGTCCTTCACAAGACCAATCTTGAAATCGCGCCCTCGGCGTGGATGCATATCTTGACCAGTAGTGCTGCCAATTTGTTTGTGAGTCGCTTCCCTCGTTGATTGAGGCCACCGCTCATGGGCCAGGCCGACGGGGTCGAGTCAGCATGGCAACGTCTCGTCCATCTCAAAAAGTTCACGCCGAACGAGGGGTTGGTGTTACAAGTCTTGAGCGTTGCTGCGCGGTGCGGTCGGCCCGCTTTAGCCATCGAAGCCTTGGAAATACTATCGCAATGTAAAATACGACCTATGGAGCATCACCTCGCACCCCTGCTTGAAGCCTACGTCAACGCTGGGCAAGTCCAAGATGCTATGTCTGTCCTCTCCACGATCCGACATGCTGGAATGATCCCGACCATGCGTACCGCTCAACCCATCGTCGAGGCCCTCCCAAGCATAGAGCTCATCGACCGAGCGTTTTATGCGATAGAAGACTCTGTCCAGAAAGGGCAGACGATCGACATCACCGCCCTAAACGCTGTCATCAAGGCCAGCGTGCTTGCGGGCGACATCCAGCGAGCTCGAGGCTCGCAGACGGCCGCGGTTGAGCTTCGTCTCAATCCAAACATCGATACTTTCAACATCATGCTCGAAGGGTGTGTGCGATCAAAGATGCGTGCTCTGGGCGACACCATTTTATCGGAAATGAAGACATCACCTATCGCCCCCGACGCTGCCACATATGAACATATGATACGACTATGTCTGACCCAAGAACCTTACGATGACGCTTTCTATTACTTGGAGAGGATGAAGTCAGAGAAGTTGCGTCCTTCGCTGGAGATTTACGAAGCACTTGCGGCGCGATGCGCGGAGAATCACGACCGTCGGTGGAAGGCGGTATTGGATGAAGTGTCGGAGAAGGGTTATCGTCGGAGTGCTACCCTGCAACGAGTCGTGCAAGCAGCTAATAGTTCGACTCTGACTGTGTCAACGAGAGCACACGAACGGCCTTTCACCAGTCGGAGAACCGAGTCATAGGTTGGCGTTGTAGCATGTGAACGGAGTAGACGAGTTACGTGAAGAATGAATGCACACTTGATGTAACTTTGCAATTAGCAACCGACGACTTAGTCTCAGAGAACGCACCGGATCTTCCAAGTTTACCATTACTTAGTTACCTATTCACTGCCCGAACGCCGCACGCCGTACGCCGAGCTCTGTCTTTACTTTCTCCAGCTTACTTTACTTTTAGCGGCACTCTGGTACTTTTTGATATTGTGCTTGCTGCATAAACATTGGGTCATGGAGTAAGTCGTCTATCGAGTCCCACTCGCCATTTTGCATCCCGTGGTAGCTTTGCAACCAAACCAAAGATCCCTTCCTCCCTGTCGGTCGCCGCTCATCGTCGCTCGGTCCTGTCGTGTCTTTCATTCTCTGATCAAGTGAAAGAAAGATTGACGAGCTGACTGCTGTCCCACAGATCCCTTTCACCCGAATGTTCTCCCTTCAAGCAGCGTTATGACTCTTGTTTCAACCTTTGGTTTGAGGGCTACCTACAACCCGCTCTGGACAGCTCCAATATCTCACGAATATCCTCTACTCCCAGTCCCTCATCAAGTTCATCGCCCCACATCCCGGCTCTGTCCACCGCTGCTCTTTCATCCGCCACTGGCTCGAGCGTCTCAGATAGAGTCAGACCTGTCACCAATTGGTCCTCTGCTTTCAACAGGAGAAACGTTCAGTCTAAACCCCTCGCCCAAGAACATCTTCAAGGTGGACATGTCCCACCTTACGCACACTCCCCTTACACGCCGACAATTCCCGTAACTACCATCGACACGACAGGCAAGACACGAGCGCAAGTCAAAGCTGAAGAGTACGAAATGGCATGTGGGCAAGCCTGGAGAGAGTACCAAAGCTGTTTGAAGGTCCGTCGTCTAACTCATAAACCCCCATATCTGCTGATCCGAATGCACAGGTAGCGATCAAGCAGAATGCTAGTCTATCAACTCTGTTGGACCAGGCCAGGGAGGAACACCCATTACATGATCTTGTGGGACTACGTGGAACCGCCTGGGACCCTCAGACGCCCATCACCCCAGTGGAATGAATGCGGATGCGAGGCGAGGAGGAGGAGTCGAGCTTAGTACACTCTGAGACCTAGCGGTGTTGCATCCATCCACATGAAATGGCGAGTATAACCCGAGATGCTACTGTCGTACCTCCCAAGCATGCTAGCCTGTACATTGATCACCGAACTTCTGCCATACTGTCTTGTGCTGCCGGCATGCTGCCTTGCTGCCTTGACCATCCGAGGCTTTCGAAGGCCGAAGGCCAAGGGGTAGCGGTGAAGAAGGGGAAGCCTATCAAGCACGTGACGTTTGAACCCTACTTACTGCAGCATTCCGTCTTTCTTGGCTATATGCTTTTCCATCTGTCTATTGTCACTGCGATTTGATCGATACCGTCTTCTCTCTCCCCTTCCAAAATCCAGATAATTCCCTTCCTGAGGGCACCGTCCTGGTAATCTTCAACTGAACTCCCTTGCCGTCGACATTCCGCCTCTGAATTCCCTCCAGACACCCTTCTTCCTCCCTTCAGTCGCTTTGATCCGGCGGGCTTCACCTTCTGCCCTCCCCTTTCCACGTCGGATATCGTAGCACGACGAGGTACTCTTCCTGTCAATCATATGGTGCTACAGATACCCGTAGGTCTATCATATCTGACCTCCATACACTCATATTCAGGTGTTTCGCTTCGAGCTCCTCATTACCCGCCAACACATGGTTTCCAGGATAAACGACTTATGACAACACAGCCCATATATCGAGAGACCGAACATGCTTCGCTCTACATCTCTAACGAGTATCTTCAACCGTTTCGAGCCTCGAATGCTTCAAGAGGCCGCCACTACATATAGCAATAGTACCCTGTCAGAGGATGGGTTCGCTGCAGTGGCCTATGTAAGTGGTGACCCTCTTGAGCGATGATTGGCGCTAACAACATCTTAGTTCATATTCTTCTGCCGATTGTCAGCGTTCATCATGGCAGCTCCCTTCGCCCTATGCATCGCGTTGGATCTCATTGCGTACGGTAAGTTTTACTATCAGGTGTTGCGTGTGATAATGCGTCTGCTAACTTTCCAGGCATAGCCAGGACTCTCCATCTTTCCATGCTACCACGACGGGTTCCACGATCGCCCCCGAATCTCGACCGCATGCTTGCCAGCGAGCACGTCCTCCTCAATGACATGGGGACACCGACCCTGGGGGATATATCCGAATCCGATGATGGTTCTCCTCCACTCGATGACGTCAAACCGCCTCCATGTACGAGATCTTCTTCTCACAAAATTAACGACGTCGATGACAACCATCTCAGAACGCCACGATCCCAACGACATCCATGAACCACTTTTTCGCTGCGATTACTCTGACCACCATGTCAAGGTCATTGCTCGAGTTCCCGCCTTGTGGGAGGAAGAGGTAATGACTCCGAGGCCCATCTTAATGGAGGGAACAACAGCCAACCATCCCTCGCAGTCGTGGCAAGCCCAACGTTGCTTACTCTCCTCTTGTTTTCCGATGAATACAATCGGTGACGCGCTCAATCCACGGAGAAGAAATTTTATATGCATGCATGGCCTTCTGATGACAATATGATCACTAGATTGTTTCACCAGGAAATGGTTATACCCGGTTATCGAGAATTGGTTTTGCAGCTTGCCATTGCATGCATTCAAGACATGACCAACACATTAGAGGTACTCAATTCTCATACCTGTTGAAATAGCATATTGCCCCTAGGGGTATCTTTGATATCAACCCAGTCAACATATGACACCTACTGTCATGAATTGTCACGCCTGCGGGTAGACTGCGGTTGCAAAGTACTGCCTTGGGTACTGAAGGGTTTTAGTCTCTGGCTCGTAGAGCTTGATGACTGCCTTACGCACTGAGGGTACTGAGGTGTTGGGTTAGAACCAACTAGGTGACTTTCAAAGATGAAGGAAGATACATTGCTGAAGAAAGAGGGGGGAGATGTGCTCCTTTTCTACCCTCCAAAACTAAAGTAGGTGTACAAAATAAAAAGCGTGTGAGGGATTTTCTAGCCAATCACATAAATGCCTCACTGCTAAACTGCTGAACCTTCTAGGCTTCAACCAATCACATAAATGCCTCACTACTGAACTGCTAAATACCATGACTCATATTTTCCTTCAATCCTTATCACAGTTACTAGCATGAGTCATATTTCCTTATCACTATTCTGAGCATGAGTCAGAATTCTTTATCACACTATTCATGACATGAATCAACAATCATGACTCAGAACAAAAGTATGGATCCAAAGCATTATTAGTAACTCACAATTGATGAGGAATGATAAGATCAGACCAAATGGTTGTGACACATAGTAACACCATATAGGTCATGGCAAATGGGCATGCCAGATGGTAGTGCCAGTTGGGGATGTCCACTCCGGGCACCACCTGCCACAACATGTGGCCCGCTACACATAAGCGTGGGCATTTCAGTAACACCGATCGGAACCGAACCCGTTTGACAACGTGGCAAAGCGGTGATGACCGATCATTCCCGACTCTTCTCTATCATTGTCTATGTCAATATTGAGGGTGTCGTCTGAGAAATGCTCATACTCCCTGCATACTTCTCATTATTAGGAAGAACAGCGCTACTCACAGACTCTTAAAGACCAGGAGGATACCCACAAAGGTTCTGCAAGGCAGTTGGACCTCTCCGTGTAAAGTTATAGGGATTTGATGGGTGAGAGTGATGAGCACACATACCAAGAAGGGAATGGTCCAAAAGGTCAAGAAAAACTGGTCAAAAATGAGTAAAAATGGTATCAAAATGGAGCTTGAGATGAGTAGAAGCCGTGTGTATTAAAAGTAGCATGAGACGGTTGGGAGAATGATGACAAACTGGTTGGTGATGGTGAAGACAGGTTAATTGGTAGCAAGCAGACATGTCACGGAGCTGATCGGTGTTACTGTCACGACTTGGTAAAGCCGTAACCCGTAATTCAGGGACTTTCAAGCTTTTCATGGGATTTCATACGATTTCATACGATTTCACATGAGTTCACCTGAATTCATACGAATTCACATGAGTTCACAGGAATCCACATGAGTCCACACGAATTCATATGAATTCATACAAGATGACCACAAATTCACATGAATTCATACAAAATAACCCGAAAACATTCAAATAGTTTGTGACTCAGAAGTCCCTTGGAAAAGCATATAAAGAGGACATTTCTATCTTGTAGTTTCTTCTTCTCAGGGATGAAAATAATATTTGCCACTCACAAAAGACCTCTTCTTGACATACATACTACTTACATCCAACACATTATCATTACCCCTGTCCACACCATCACACACACCCTTATCGTCATCTTGACCTGCCCGGATCCTTCGCAAGTCACTTTAGTTGTCTGACCATGTTACGAACCGTCCTACGTTGACCTCGCTGGCGTCAGACGATTGGAAAGTGAAGGTTTACAAGGGGTGTGACTACAAGGAATGAAGTAGTCACTACTTGTGAATTGGTCAAAGGTGGTGGATCAACTTGGAAGGATCCGGCAAGTTGTGCAAGTTTCTTGAAGAAATAAGTAAGCTAGTTATTGGTTTGAAGTCAAGTGAAGTAACTTTTGATGATTTGATCCTTGGGGAAAAGGTGGCCGGAAGGCCTCCTTTTATCCTTTTCGGCTCCCTCCAAAGAACCCCACTTTGGGTGGCAAAATACTTCTTGAACGGGCTCTTCGAATGGATTCTTAGAGTGTACTCTTAGAACCGACTCTTAGAGGAGGTTCTTAGAGAACACTCTTAGAAGCAACTCTTAGAAGAGGCTCTTAGAAGCAGCTCTTAGAAGCAACTCTTAGAAGCAGCTCTTAGTAGTTATTCAGGATGGAGCCCCCAAGGTCACAAGAATCTACTGAAGAATTCACTGAAGTATGTACTGTCTACTAAGGTGTTATGATGGGATCATAACAGACAACATCACAAGTCTACAGACAACATACTAACCGTCATCGTCCAAGCTAACTAAACAGTTGCAGTCCACCTGTTGTTGATCCATTGAGGTCTGTCAAGGACAGAACCGTGACAGTTACTGAAACGCCCACGCCTATGAATAGCGGGCCACGAGTTGTGGCAGGTGGTGCCTGGACAAGACTAGGGTGGTGCCCGGAGTGGACATCCAGCTGGGCATGTCAAATGGGCTATGTCACAACCCTGCAAGTCCTTGGGTTGTGCCCCTTGGGTCCTGAGAGTTCGGAGACAACACCAGGCAAGATAAGTGAGATTCATGGCACAATAGGTGAGATGTAAAGGGAGAGATGTCATGGATCAGAAGACTGGCTTAGTAGATGATGTCAAGGTGACATCATGCTTCAGAATTGGTCACCGTAGATCTCAGTGACATCATACTTAGGCGTGAATCTCACCTAATAAAAGTAGACTTCACTGAGCAGAAACGTAAGGCTTTGAAGATGTCGTAAGAAATCTCATTGGGAATTCATTCGTGCTGATGTCTATATAAATAAGCCTGCCATATTTTGCAGTTTCCCCATCAATGGATCTCTTTCCCTCTTGTTCTGATAGGGGTGTTCATTTCTGATACGCCAAAATAACACGTGTTAAAATGACGTCAAAATTTCCTCTTTGGGTAATTTTGATGACAAACAAACGCGACATCTCAACAGGTGAAATGTGACCGTTGAGTTTTCACCATCACCGTAGAGTCATTGTATCTTGGTAGAGAGACACTTTTAAGCAACAAGAAGCCCAGAATCTGAAAGAGGAGAGCTGTAGCTTCACGCTGATACTATGGATACTTTGGGGGGTGGTAATTTGAGGTCACCGTCACCACCTGTGAATATGTTGTTAAACCCCCTTCGCACACCTTTGCTGATCCCACTAGGTTCTCCATATCCAGTCGACCGCTCGTCAACCGTCTACTAGAACTCAGCAAAGGAGGAATAGGGACAAAGAGGACAGTCAGCATAACCCCCCAGCAACTTTAGGATGGACAAAAGACCAAAGAGACGGGGAGTATTGTTCCCTCGACTACCTCATTGAATGGTTAGCCATTGGGGACAATTTTAAGAAGTATCAACATGGCCTAGGGGGTAAGAAGAAGCTGGGGATGGCTAGGGAATGCTCTGAGTGGATGTCCAAGTCAGGCTGTCCAACTAAAAGACCGACTGATCAGATACAAAACAAGGTAAGTGTGATTTCCTTCCTTTTCTCCCCCCCAAAAACTGTGCTGATGTCTTCTAGATTCGTGAACTCTTAAGAAGGTGGCGAGAGGCCCGTGACTGGCTAAATCACACAGGGAAGGGTTTATTCGAGAGTATGGTGGATGGTAGCGAGGATCCAGAGAAGATAAATCAAGCTGAACAGACGGTTAAAGGTGAGTCCCCGTCTCTCCCTTCTCCCCTTCTCCCCTTCTCCCCGAATACCTCCTGTGACCTGTGTATCCTCTGTGACCTGGCTATTCATCACTCCTATGCTTCCTTAGCTGATCTGCAGCCACTGTACTGAAGAAATGTCCTGAATATGACTCTGTGGACCCCATATTTGCCGAAAGAGACGGCGGGACAGAATCCCTTCGCACAGGTACCACCCAAAATAGCAATGTCACACTTGACACCATTATGAGGGGTCCCCACCACTCCTCTCCCTCTCCTGAGGGATCTCTACACTCTCCTAGGCCCCCCACACCCTCTCAGATGTCACTGAACGACTTCCTAGGCCAGCAAGAGTCTCAAATTGAAGATACATTGACTCAAAGCGAAAATACACGTCCTGCGACTAGGGAACGCAGTTTTAGTGATCATAGGCTAGCCAAGCGAGCTGCAGGTACGTCAGGCACGGCGACATGAACTGCATAGCCACTAAGGTCAGAGTATAGCTGATTTACAGGCCTTTACACATCGTCCAGGAGGGTGGAAGGAAAAAACACTGCGGGAGGTATTGTTGGCCTCTTTGAAGGTATCGTAGCAAGCAGGAAGGAGGAGATAGGGCTAGAGAAGCGTAAGCTTGCTATCCAAGAGGAAGAAAGAGAAGACTCGAAGAGACAGAGGAAGGAAAGGGCTAAAAATGATCGGTTGGTCATAACATCGATGGAGGCTCAAGCACGTCTCACTGCAGAGCAAGGACTACCGGTAGAACTTTGTGTTTCCTGGGTTCAGGCTATTGCAGATGCAGAGGAGAGGTATGATAGGGCTCACAGGGATAGAGAAGAAGGGGAAGGAGACGTTCACACTGAATATGATGAGTGGAGCAATTGGTCAGAGAGTGATAGATAGGTAGGTAGGTAGAACGACTCACATGTACTCATGACAAAATGAAGTTGTCTATATCGATTTCCTCTGTCTCCAATGCTAACATTTGCTCCACCAACTCATGATGTCTTCTCATGTGTGGCCTGAGACAACCAGCACCTAAGAAATTATCCTCTGCTACCTCCTCTGCAGGCAGGTCGTCTCGAAGTGGTTCGATTGGTAAATTTCCAGTATTTTCTTCGGTGTAATATTTGTCTGTGTTTATGAGGATATTGTGGAGAATTGTACACACTACAATGATTGTGTGAGCCATAGCTTCGTCTCTTTTTGTTTGAAATCTCATAGACATTGATCAAAGTATGGTCCATGGAGCCTTTAACACACTATCGAATGTTCAACCCCTACCCTCATGACAGAGGCTCGAGAGTTGAAATACGCGGTTTTACCTCGAAGAACCGCTTGGCCAGCACTCGTTTTAAACATTGGTACGACAACAGACAATGCTGTAAAGCCCGAATCAGCCAGGATGTACTCCTGGTTGCTGAAATACTGAGAGGGGGTGCTAAGGGGTTCGATAGCTCGCTGAACTCGTTGATCGCTGCTGGAAGCGGGATAGCCGTAATGAATATATCAAAAACGCTTGGTATGATCGACGATAGCCATGACATTGAAGCCATACCTCTCCTTGCGGCTATGATAAGCCCCTGCATCATCTCTAGCAGGAGCAGTTGAGAGATTCACATGATAGCCGTCGATGAGACCGACACAGTGAGGAATCAAGTATTCAGAGAGAAATCAAGCTTTTATTTCAATTCTTTCGGTGGGGGACGGCCAGGAGATGAAGTAAGAGCGTTTTTTCAGTATAGCAATGAGGGCTTGGTCACACCACTTGAATACAGTGCCGGCTAACCAATTATCAGCAAAGTGGACAGACCAATTGGAAGAAAAACCCACTTGAGACCCCGAACTCGCGATCTAATGTCCTGCAGTCATGTCCATGAGCCATTCGGTAGACCAGTAACCCAATCTGATACTTTGGTGGGGCCTGAGGTTTGTTTCCTCTTGAAAAAAAAAACAGGATCATCCTTGAAAAAATCGACGATGTCATCAAGGTGGCTAGGGGACATGCGAAATGCTTGTTTATGACGAATACCTCGTTCTGCGAAGAGGAGAATGTTACTGTGGTAGAAAGAGGGTCGGACAAGATTGTTAGGGACAGTTGGGTATCGATCTAAGTAACGATTTGCTGAGATTTGGTGATGTGCTTGAATTATGTCTTCCAAACAGGCGCTTGAGGTATGATCGTCTAGCAGAGGAAACAGAAGCAATGCGGCGTCTTCTAAATCATGCAGGAGGTGGGTGAGCTCGAGGGGTTTTGGACGGCATGACACAAAGTCCGAGGGGTTTTGCTTAGTAGAGAGTTGAGAAATGCAATGGCCGAGATACATATACATAAACCTGCATGAGATGACATGGGGGAGGACGCGAAGGAGGGGTTACACGTGGCATTTTTACTTCACACGTGGCATTTTATGACATAAAAATGGCTCGTTATCACGGGTGTTCACTTATCTGTGATAATGTTGTGACTAGCCATTATAGAACTGTCACAAAGTGTGACAAGTCGAGCGAAAGTCGGGGAAGGGTATTTAACCAGAGATCGGCGGTAGAGTTAGCAACTAACCAACTCTCCTGAATGTTTTA